TTACTTTAACTGGATCAATTCTGGGCAACAAAATTATATACGGAATAGATAGATAAGTGAAACTGTGTCCAATAGTCACTTAAGGAATGATGTTCTACTCTTTGTTACTATATCGAGTAGGAGAAAGATGTATTTCTCCAGTTCTCACCTGGCTTCATATATCACAATGATCCAGCTATAGGCTTCACAGGCACTATCTATCACTTTGACCTGACTGTCTATACCAGTGGGGGCGGGTCCCGGCTCCAAGAGGTCCATGAGCATGTGCGCTGACATGCTTGCAATCTCATTCCTAGCTGGTGGGGGTGTACCCAGAAAGAGAATTACCCAATTATTTTGTATGCAGCCTTCTTTCCATTAGACTGCTTTACAGGACGGTCTAAAAGCCGCTCTTGGCCCAACGCTACGTTCCAGATGCTGTCAATGGTAATTGTTTGGGTCAGTCTAGTTGAGCCGCTGTGGACTTTTGAATGCACTTGTTTAATGAATGGGGCTCATGCCAGCTTTTTCACATTTTCCTAACCTGCGGCCATTTTGAAAAAGCACACAGAAGGTAAAAGTGGTGGCACATTAGTTTCACTGGTGGAGATAGGCGTGACTACTGAAGATAATGACAATCTTCAGACAGAAGACATATTTTATTGTCGATGGTAGATGAGCACGTCAGCATTTGCCACAGAGCTAGTAGCTTGGCCTTGAGATAACCAACACATGTAGTGGAATGATGAGTTTAACTTTAACCACAGCTGCTGTCATGAAATATCAAAACTACGTCTGTTAATATTTAAAGTCTATGGTCTATATGAGAAAAAAGTCAAGAAGGAGCAGACTTTGTGACCCACCAAAACCAGACAGCAGGAGGAGCAGACAGGGTGAATTTTTCAGAAGTTGGAGTGAATAATTCAGAAGTTTTGTGGCCGGCAAATGTGGCGTTTCTGGGAAAGTGTGTTTTCACGTTCTAACAGTGCTGTTCGGCCCGTCTCAGACTCTCAGGGGTGGGCTGGAAATGCTGTGCTGTGGAATCTTGCCACTTCTGCTGCGTACGACAGAGCACGGAGCATGAATGCAGAGGAGACTGGCTTCAAAGAGGACATTTAGCGGAAGATGTGCCACATTTGGTATTTTTGGAGAATTTTAGTGCTTTGGTGGTAATACTGCATGATTATTTAGATTGGAACTGCATTTTTACAATTTAGACCAAGCACTGGTACAATTGTACATTTACATAAGTTGGTGGCATCTATGGGCCTGAAATGGAGCGGATGTATTTATTTGATAGGGCCTTTGATTATTACCTCAAGCGAACTCACTCTGGTCATCTATTTCTGTTTGTTTTGATTACTTTTACTAATGGCCGATAAAGATTCAACAGATTTCATTGAAAAAAATTGCACTTACACTAGTATTAAAATGAGTTGGAAAGATTACAATGTGCAGGACTCTTTCTTGGGATAGTTCCCGGTCACCTTGACGTGGAAAGTCTCCTGTACTTTTTTGTTGACTTAAGCTCTTTAGAATATCTTTATTTTCGTCCCCAACAACCAAGCTGCTTAACAGTTATTTGTTTTGTTTTTTCTTAATAGTTATTTTGATGGAGATTGGTGAAGGTGAAACTAAAGTGATTTCCCTTGAGGACAGATTAAGTGCTGAAAAAATATATTAAATGTTGTTTTCATTCCTTTAACCTCCTATTCCGCTGTGTGGCATGTTCTCAAATGCAGAGTCAGAATAGCACACACTAAATATTCGATGAATACACATGTTTTAGCTATATTTTTTCATATCTTGCAGGAGGTTACTCATGTCACATAATAAAGTATATATGAAGTTTCTCGGTGTTATTTGAAACATCCATCCTTCCACATTGGGTCTACATTATCGTAAATACTGTACCTCTCAGTTATATCAGCTTAGACCACTTATTGCATCCCAGTGGAATTATGTAATACACTGAATGTCCTTGTGCATTATTCACACTGTTGTCTGCTAATATGACTCATTGCTTTTATTGGAATCCTTTAGTCTCATGCTACCGGGCTGCTGTTTGCTTTCTGGTCCTCTCCACCATTTTCTCATCTCTTTGACATGAACTGATGAAGCAGTTTCACAAAACACCTTCCTATCTTGCATGAGGAAAAATGATTATTAGCGGAGTGGTTTCATTCCATCTGGCTGCTGCGTGTGTGCGGACTCAGCTGAACGCAGTGAGTGGAGGAGCTGTCCGGTGCTGAAACCCATTCACTCTGCTCTACTGCATATGTGTCAATGGTAGTATTAAAGAAGCTATACCCGATTTTTTTTCTATCGAGTTAATAAAAATCCGTACAACTACATATTTGTATTAAAAACTGTAATTTAATTGAAAACTGGAGCTCATTGATTCAGCATGAGTTTAGGCCATTCAAAGTGCTGATATGACTTTTAAGCCCGGGTGAACATAGCTAGCTTACATCGTATTCTCTGGAGACCGCCTCGGACTATCTATGCTCGGACTATCTATGCTCGGACTATCTATGCTCGGACTATCTATGCTCGGACTATCTATGCTCGGACTATCTATGCTCGGACTATATTCGGACGCGGAACTAGCGGTAATCTTTCAGTTATATATTTTGTTAGCAGTGCGTTACTTTTGTACCATTTCATCAGTGATTGTTGTACAGCTTAAGTTGCGCTCATGCTAATGTTTTCACACGTATTAGATCGCAAATAAAACTAGATGGCTCCGTGGGATGAGAGCGTAGGGGAAATGAGAAGCCTGTGAGCGAGTTGAGGGGCGGTGCTAAACATTTCAAACCTTGCAGAAACGGGTATAGCTCCTTTAATATGAATGCATCGGCAAAAGCCAAGGATAAAACACAAAACCCTTTATTGCGTTGTGCACTGTTATGATGGTAGGATGCCCCTGTGATTTATTACAGTGCAAGCTATGTCGTTATTATTATCTTTTCCCCATGTGTTTCCACTATCCAATGGTTTCAGAAGGATGAGAGCAAGAGGCCAGTGTCAAAGAGAAACACTTCCACTTCAAATGATATCATCTGAATGGGAAGGCTTTAAATGTTGCATGAAACATAAGCTGAAAACTAAAACAACCTAGATATTAGCTAACAGACCTAGTAATTAATTAAGGATTAAAGAAAGCAATATTGTTGAGCTATCCTTACATACTTGAGTGAATGATGCTGTGACATTGTCTATACATCTGCATCCACACCTGACCAAAGCCCTGCTCACTCTGGAAAAGAACCAACAATGAGGTCCCATACGTGTCAGAGAATTGTGCAGAACAAAACAAATATTCTAAAAGGAAACTGGAAAAAGCATGTCTGATACCGGTCTCTATACTTTGGCTTTGAATATCTGCTGATTCCGGGGACAAGCTAAACCAGGGAATAAGAGAATAACATTGTGGTTACTATCAGCCGACAGTTGACATTGTATGATCAAGATTTTAGCAGAAACAAAACATCTACTCAATCCAACATTTTGACTGGATTTGCAGCAATATTTAGGGCAGATATTTATTTTATGAATCGCCACTAATCGATTATTGAAATAGTTGTCAACTCTTTTATCTATGTTAGCACCACCTACATGTGAAAGTCCTGTCAGACCACTGAATCTAAGCAGGGCAGGGCCTGGTTAGTACTCTGATGGAAGAACTCTGGGAACACCAGTGCCAGAGTGGGGCGGCTGCAGCTGCACAAATTGTTGTTGTGTCCTTAGGCAAGACACTTCACCCACATTGTCTATAATGAGTCTGGTGTGTGTGTAAATGGTTGGTGGTGGTACATACTGGTTGCCTCGCTGTCAGTCTACCCCAGGGCAGCTGTGGCTTCAGTTACATGTGAAGTGTCTTTGCGCGTCCACGCTACACTGTATATAAAACCGATTATTACTATGAATATTATTATTAATCCATTCATTGCTTTTTGAACCTTGCAAAGACTTAAACATACTGAGAAGGGGTTTTATGACTCTGATGATTCTATAATGATGGCAGAATGATAAAAAACTTGTTATTTTTAGAAGCATCACTTGAGCAGTGTTTTGTTCTCATATTCCTTTGGTCTTTTGGGATCCATACTATATACAACTCCATCCATCCATCCATTTTCTACCCTTTAATCCATTTCTGGGTCAGGGCGGTGGCAATCAGAGATGCCACCCAAGTCTCATAGCACCAGCCCCTCACTGACCCTCTGCAGGTGGTGAGTCCACAGGAGGACGGCTGCTCTCTGACTGTGAGCATAGCCTTGATCTTTCAGTGGGGGCTTTGGGCAAAGTGGGGTTAATTGATTAATTGAAAGAATAATCGGCCAACTTTTCAATTATAACAATGATAGCTAATTGCATCTCTATACCAATATCCAAGACCATATCAGTGTATCAAGGTATAGGTTAGGCAAGTTTGAAGGAAACAAATAAAGTATTTCTTTCTTTCTTAGGCAATAAGTAGGAGATAAAAGAAAAACTGTGTCATACTGCAAGTCATTTGCCAGATTGCCTTGAATATCCCTGATAATGCATATTGCACAATAGTCATCTTCACCAATTGGCTATACGCTATAGGGCTATGGCACATTCAATCAAATTCGTTTTTTTCTCTCCGCACACAAATGTTTGGTGCAATAATCAAGTTATGCATAAGTAGGCCACAGAGATCCACGAGTAGAACAGAGATCTATAGCATTTAAACTATCACCACACAATGTATATCCCTCTAATGTAATGTAATAGCCCTCATCGTCCATTAAAAACCCTAATTTGTCATAGATCCGGCTCTGTGTGTTCTGCATGAGTCAGCAGGAGAGCATTGGAGCAGATGAGGTGGCTGCTGTACTGGAGTGTAGTGTCTTTGCGGGTGGAGTGTACCTTTCCCTGCTCCTCCATCAGATACAGCAGTCTGGCAGCATGACAACTTAACCCTTACACTGCCAACACACGTCCCATTCACAAAACAACGCTTATAACGACGGGACTGGGGCGAAACTTACACATAAGCGTGGTAGATGAACGCCCAGCCCCGCGGTCTCTCCAGCGCGTTGTTAACAAGAAAATCTGGAGTATCGCGAGAGCTGGCATTCTGATCTTGTCGGTCCGAGGTCTGTCCTACCGAGATGCTGGCCCCGCGTCTGCGCAGGAGTCCCCAGACCGCTTGGCGCTGTCCCGTAGCCGCAATGGACAGCGCCCCCTCCCGCGACTGTGACTCCGTAGCCGAGGGGTCCAGTCCCACGCAACCCTACCTGCTCCGCCTCTCCGGGGGGCGGGCGGGCAGCGTAGACCCCGCCGTTCAGAGCCGTACTTCACCATGAGGCAGAGACGCGGGAGTCCCGAGCCGTCACGCGCGGGAAGCAATCACCGAAGCCTGGGGGGAATGGGGAGAGGGCGGACCGGGAGGGGGGGGGGGGGGTGGATGTGTCGAGCGACGTGTCCCATAAAACAGACCGAGCGAAACGGAGAAATCTGCAGATAAACGCACACTTTAAACGCACAGCTGGGAGGAAAGGGCACGTTCAGGAGTGTGGGTGGAGTTTAGTGGAAGATGCCATCTGCTCACTCCCCTGCCCTGCCGCTGACTGGAGTGGAGAGCGGCAGGCGTGCGAGAGTTGCCCTTTGGACCAGGCATGGAGATAAGGGGAGGGAGTTGTGGGATTATTATGTGAGGGCGGGCTCTACCTGGTGGCCATGGATAGTGTTGTGGAGTACAAGGGAATCATTCTGAATAATATTTTTTAGTCAAAATGTAAGCAGATTTTTTCTTACAATTAGCACTTTTTATTTTGGGGAATTAAGGTATATATGTTTTTGATCTTAATGTGCAATTCTGACAGGCATCATTGCAAATAAAAATAGTGTCATCGCAATTATTTTAGGTCTGTAAATACAACTTAAAATGTGAGAATAAATACATGAAATAGACTAAGTGCGCCATGTGTGCGAAAACCAGACCGACGAAACCTCTGAACGGCAGGCAGGCCTGCGGGGGTGTAAAGGCCAAACGTTTGTTGAGTCCTTAGGCTATGACACTTCATCCCACAGAATGATCTGGTGGTGGTGTGACTGTTTGGTGGTGGTCAAATGGTCAGATGGCACAATACCGGATACCTCACTTCTGTCAGTTTTGCCCCACCGCATACTGCACAATTTCCAAATAATGTATGTTTCACATTTTCGGATCACATTTGGTTTGGGGTTTTTTTAAACATGCTGATGATCAAACTATCAGTCATAGTATAAGAAAGAGGGGCTCGGTATATCTCACTATGACTGTAACAAATCAGCTATAATAATAGTTGCACATTGTAAGTTGAATTACCAAATGGGACTTTAAGAACAATATCTTATGATTCCGTGAGTCATCCTAAAACACTACAACACACATATGAACCGCCAACATGTGCAAAAAAATGAGCAACAGTTTGCAAATGAAAGTTAAAGTACGGTTTTCCATGTATTCAAATTTTTGGGCTGGGGGGGGGTTTACTGTAGAGCAAATTCTGGACATCAACTGAGTAGTCTCCAAATGCAAAATGGGATGATACGTAAAAATTATCTTATTGCCGACAGAGTGAATACTATCCTCTGGTGCTTCTGGCTCAACCCACGACTGCAGCAGCTCAGGGACCTGAGAAAACTGCTCTGAAACTCATACAATATTCACACATGCTGCAACTGTGTCACCATGCTGTATAAAGGTTTTGAGAAAACTAAAAGATGGAATACATCAGCACTTATTTGTCAAATTAAAATGTGCCTACAATAGGTAAGACATGATAGATACATTGTTAATGAAATAGATGAGTGGGCAAATGTTGCTTCCAGTGAGTCAGGAGACAAAGTAAAACAATTACTCTTAAGTCTCCTTCCAACTCCTGCTGTATCTTAAATGAGTCGCACAACCACTGGCCATATTATGAACATTTTATTTCTATACTGTTAAGATAGCATTTACAATAATCATTTTTAGAAAGATTCCAGAAAGTTTCTTTGTACAGTTATTTTCAGGCAAAATAAAATTGCAAATAAAGTATGTACAATAATTCAACATTAGAATCATATCAATACAAACATAATCAGTGACTGTCCATGCTGCAGACATTAGCTCAGGCCACACCAGGAGCAATTGGACGGATGATTTGAGGAGAACGATGAGGTGTTGTTGAGAACTACATGCTGAAAAATAAATTACTGAGGACTGAGATACCAATGGATGCAGCATGAGTCCAGAAAGTGTGAACATTGGTAAGTAAAGTTATGCTCTTTTGAACAAACAGCTGCTCAGTCACCAATATAAAAACAAATGTTTAATATACTCAATATAATCTGCATAAAAAATAATCCAGTTTAAGTTATAGCACTTTAAGACAGTTTAGCATTTATTTACAAGAAATTAAAATAATCAGTAAAATTCTATCCCTTTCGTTACAACATCCTATGGATTACAGTACATTTTTTCTAACACTGTTTTGATTCGACCTGTTCTCATGCAGACTCTGAGTAAAACGGGCGTTTCATGGAAAACCAGGTCAAATTACATACAGTAATTACAGTAGCAACTTGAATGGAGCTATTATTCCTGGTCATAGAAATGAAAGACAACTTTTAAAATGCCAGTCACTAGAAGGTGAACCTTCAGCTACGCTAACGCAAATATTAATAATTTAACATTTACTCTGTCACTAGGCCAATAAATTACAATATACAACATGCTCAGTTGTTCTGCTCTTGTCCTGATTTTGTCACGATACGGCTGCAAACCATGCAAGTTTAAGACACTTACAAATAAGTATTTTGAACTGGGGAAATACATTTTTTAAAAGTCATACAAAATTAAAAGGACTGGCAACGCAGATGCCCCAACGCATGAATGTTCCATGAATTAAATATAATCCATTGTCAATTTGAAAATTTATATTTCAAAGAAGAAATTCATGAATATTATTTCAAAGACCTTAGGAAAACCCAGTCACAGAAGCTTATTGATAACCAATTTTGGTATATTCTTACGTTTTACTCCAACACCTTGAGCTCCCTGAAGATCATCTAATTAAATCATAAATAATTAAAAATACAGGCTGCATGCCATTGGTCCTTTAAATACTGTTCGATACGTCGACTGGAATGTTTTAGATCCTTTAGATACCTGAAGCAGAACAGGTGAGGGGCAACAAGCTCCTTCAAAGTATAATAAATAACTAGCCTTCATGTATAGTGCAGTAATACAGTACTGACACAAACCTACAGTAATTGCACAGTCAGCACATGCAACAGGCCCCAGCCCTTTGTCACCGAGTCTCCCACCTCATCTCCCCTACTTCCTGTCCTCATTCTACAACATATACATGAATACACAGGCATTCAAGTAGTCAGTAGGTCCTAACATTGAGCCCTGATGCACAACACGTCCATCACAGAGAAATGACACCTTTTAAACGTTGCAGTCAGAGGCAAGAGAAGATCTGGGTTCAGGATTAGTACAAGTATTTGAAGGTAAATTCAGCTGGATTCAACACACATCTTCTGATTAAGACCGGCACGTAAAATGTTCTGCATGTCGTTAAATCCAGTGGAGGTACATTTATCCGTAGATGCTCAAAGATGCTGTTAAATGCTTCCAAGCACCATTTTTGATTAAATGAACCGAATCATCAAGTGGTATCATGCTGGAGTCCCTGTGCGTTTTGGGGTTGGCAGTGTCTCTTGATTAAAAAAGCTGCATTTCTGTTTCAGTCTCTTTTCTTCTGAATCTTTAGAGTTCTCCATCTGACGGTGGTAAACACAGCTTGAAAAGCCTGTGGACACAGAGACGATCCAATAAACAGATGGTAACCTAATAAGGGACTAAATGGCGTAAGGCAGAAGTGGTTGGATACAGTACCTAGGAGCAGAGGGAGGCATCTGGTCCATTACCTTGAGGTTCTTTGCAGAGAGCTCCACTCTGGCTCCCTGATAAAAGATGGAAGAGATACGGTTTAACTTCATTATAGCACTAGAGCTCATGATACTGTCCAGTATGTAAAAAAGAGCACAGACAGTACAATTAAATGATATCTCTTTTGTTCATCTCCTTTATGCCTTTATGGATGTTCACTTGGTATTGTCTACATGTGTAGTGTAGAATGATCACAGTTCTTATAAGCTGCAGCAGTTTGTACAATAGATTAATATTTTGGTGTTGTGCGAAATATACCTGTTTACGCATGATGTCCATGGTCTGCATGATGCAGCGAGGCATTAGGCCGTGGTTTCTGGATAAGATCATAGCCTGCTCCAGGGTCACGCTCAGAGTACATCTGTAAGACCAAGCAGTGTTAGTGTGTCCTGTCACAGACACTATATTCAGATGCATGTCAGCCAACTCCAGTCATTTCTACTGTGATGAATAGCTTATACACTCAAGCTATCAACCTATAAGTACAATCCAAGTACTTTCTCCGTGTTGGGGATTGGATTAATATAAACTATATCCCTAAAGGGATTGGATAAAGCAAAATCAAGGGACATTTAGAATCTGGAAAAATTATAAGTCACAGTTTTTGTCTGGTTTAGTTTGGGCGGGAGTGCAAAATGTATGTGTGAAATTATTACATTTTCCAATTTAAATGTTATATTTTATGTACCGTAAAATATCAAATAACAGCCTGGGCTTTTAAGTTGAGCGAGTGTTGAGCTAAAAATGCGACGTTTACTCTAGTGCAACTTAAATATTTTTTCCTTCTTAATTATGCATTTTTGGCTGGTGCGATTTATACTCCGGAACGGCTTCTAATCCGAAAATACGGTAATTGTAATTAATTGTGAGTTAACTATGACATTAATAAATATTATAATTGCTTGACAGCACTAATAAATACAAATACAAGTAGTCCAGTCTCTAGTGCCTCATTTAATTTCACTGTTTTTTTTAAAGAATATTGGTTAGAAATGAGTGTTTGAAGTGTCTGATTCCCACAAATCAAACCTGGGAAAACTGTGGGCTGAGGGCCACATGCGGCCCCTTGTTTCCCCATGATTTGTTCACCAAACAAATAATATTATAATTCAAGTAGCTGTCACAAAAAAACATTTTTGTCAAGTTGTATGAAATGGTAACCGTGTGAAAATGGGTCTGGCTCTCCACAATATGACGATATCACAATGTGGTTTCAGTGTTAAAACAACTTTCTTTGAGTGAGTAGCACAATATTTGTGTTTGCTCACCTCTGCATGCCGGTGCCACACATGCTGATGTGACAGGCTCCCAGTCGGTTGCACAGTTCTGAGGAAACACACAGAACACTGACCCCCGATGGGTGACCCTGGGCATTGGGGCGCACATTCACATAGGACTGCATCAGACGGCACAGGTCGTCCAGGGTGTTCAGAGGACGAAGCAGCTACAGCAAATGATAAAAATGAAATATTAAAATAACCTTATAGACTGACGGCTGTTGGATGAAGAACTGCAACGGAATCTTTAGTATATTCAACTAAAGACATGCTACAAAAGCAGACTATACATGAGGGCTAGTGTGACATCACTTAAGTGTACTCTTCAAATCAGAAAGTGACATCAGACACAGGGTGCATGTGGTTTGTATTACCTCATGGGGGCAGCAGCGTTCATATTCACACAACTATGTTATTTTTACTATGATGTATTTTCATTCATATTAATCTAAAATGATAGTTATTAAGATAATTACTATATCAGTAAAGTAAGTTGGAGTTCTATTCTTTAGACTAGTCGGTTAGTGGGAACTATGAATGGGATCTGGAGCTAAAGAGGTTTCCAATCACAGCACACCAGAGGTCTTACTTTAGAAATGCTTGGCTGGACGTCTCTAACTTCACGGCCCAGTATCTGTGCTTGCATTTATATTGAGTCATTACACACAAATAAGGCAGAGAATGACATTGATAAAGTAGTCACGTAGTAAGAATGTACAAAAATCAGATTTACCTGGTCAATCTTCATTGCTGTGCTGTTGGAGTCTGTGGGCAGGTTGGACTTCTCCAAATAAAAGGCCCTGGTGAAATAAATATCTATGAATCCTCTCTTGAATTAAAGTACACATATCAAACTATTCGCAAAAAATGATAATTCCATTCTTTAGAAAGTGAGAAATATTGATAAAAACAGTACAGTGTGGTTCAAACCCACCTGAGTTTGCGGTAGTAGGCTTTGACTTTCTCCAAAGAAACAGCGTTAGTGCGCTGTTGGAACTCCTCCATCGTCACATACTCGGCCTGGGACACTCCCTCTGGACGTTCCAGAGCTGAGAAATAATAATAATAATGATAACGTTATTATATATCCTAGAAGGTATCTGATACATGTTGTGCAAACTGTGGCTGAACCCATTCACCAGTAGGTGGCAATATTGTAGCACACATTCCCAGCTGACTACATATGAGTGTGTAAACTCTGCAGTCTGGTAGAGCTCCACATGTGTCTGAAGTCTCACCTCTGGTAAAAAGCACAGTGTGCAGCTTAAGGCTGCCTCCGTTCTGCAGTCGGCTCGGCAGCTCATTGAAGTGACAGCTGTCGAGATACAGGGTGACCCTCAGGGCCTGTCGACTGCCTTCCACCTGGTAGCACACTGGTGTATCTACAGCAATCACACAAACAAACATCCAAGTCAAGCCATGAGGAAAGTATGGCAAATTATAAAACATACAAAAGTAATAGAACCCTCAAATGTAAAAATCATTTGACAAAATACTGTACAAAACAAATGGTGGAGTAATGGTTCCATTTTGTGAACAAGAGCTGACTGTGCAACTGCATATTACTGCATATTAACCTCTTAGACATCAAGGGTCAACTGTTTTTCCCAAAGGAACCAATCAAGTCATAATCATAAATAATCATGCGTCTCTTTCTCAGCATCAACATGTGGCTTCCAGTTTGTGGAAGATGCTATTAGAAAATCAATTCAGTCTTTCCCCATCCAACACAGAAGCAATTTTAACAATGCAAATTCAGCATTAGTGTTGATATGAGATCTACAAATGAGATAAAGATTTGACCTGCTGTAGAAGTTAATGTGTATGGGTTTAGTCTCTCTGAGTGAGCATTAAACAGCAAATGGAGGACAAGTGCTTTTCTTAATGCACTGAGTGTGCGGTACAGGAGGATACAGGGAAGTGATACAGAATTTACTCTACTCTTGCATGTTGAGAAATTCATATCACCTGGACACAGACGTTTTTCATAATTTTTCTCTTTAATTAGTGTTACCAGGTATTTTAGCTCAAATGAAAAAATTGAAATACTCAGCTGCTCGATTCTTAAATTGTTTTGAATCAACATTCAGATTTCAGATGTGGATCATAACAAAAGCATAACAGAAAATTAAAAGGCGTGACAGTGGTAATCTCCAATATTTCCTTGCCTAATTTCACTTTTCATGAATCTACTGACATGATGCAAAGATAATCTGCACCATAGATCTGGAACTGAATGGGAACCCACACTTAAATAACCAGAGTCTTTGTAAATATCTCACTTGCAACAAGACACTCGTCCTCCATCTGCCTGAAGAACACAGTCACTTTGTCCAAGTCCAACAGGGCGGCCTTGGTGTCCTCCAGCATGGTCCGCTCCTCTTTCTATCAAAGGGGAGAAAAAAACATCTCAGAGGTCAACAAGGATAAACAGTCCAGCTGGATGCTTTGATGAATGCTAGTTTTTATCTTTCAAAATGAAGACTCCTATTTATTACAGTGGCCATCTGCATCCAGCAATATTGTGTAAAATATTTTGAAATCCAAGCCTAAATATGCAGATTACCAGGCCCATATATGGCTGCGTTCACATCACATTCTATAAAGCCTATAGTTTATGATTGTGGTGGAGAGTGGATGTAAAAATCAATCCAGGTAACTATGGTAACTGTCTAAAGTCCGATATCCTGTTTTATTTAATTTAATGTGAGTGAATGTATCTGTGACCAGGAAGGACATAGTTCCACTTCTTTATTGTCAGTACAAATCAAATATGGTGAAAACATATTCTCATAAGTGCAGGCAATATTCAAAAACATATCAAGACGTTGGTCAATATTTATATTTTAACATGCCTTTTTCCCATACAGTTGTATTATCATCTGCCCTCCAACTACAAGCTACAAGATGAAAAGGTAGGTTTAAAATATGCTAGTAACCTATACATATCTATTTTTTCTTCATTCAGATTCAGATTCATTTATTTGCCATTTGCAGTAAAACCACATTGGAAAAACTGTGCAAGACTAACCCAGTGTGCACCAGACGACACACACTAGAGCTCTTGCCACAATATTAGTATTAGTAGTTAGTTAATTAGTAAATTCCACTGCTGTTGCCTTCTTAATGGACTGTATTACTGAGGTACTTTCTGGATTGTTGTGGTATTTTGTTGTATTATCATGGAAAAAATGAGCAAAAAATACAATGGTTAAAGACTAAATTAAATATATCTCATGTTCAGTGATCATTATTTGTATTTACCATAGAATACACAGGCTTGCATACCAACTTAAAGGCACACCGTGTAACTCTTGGCCACTAGGGGCGCTAGACCTGCAACTTTCACGTTTAGCGCCCCTAGTGGCCACAAGCAACTCAGCACTGTCGCAAAAGTCAACAAACAGTCAGCCGGTGTCTTTTGAGTGTGTATTCAGACAGCATGCACTGGTGTGTGTGTTCAAACTGTAGAGACATGCCTACAGATATTGAGAGACTCTGCTGTGGTCAGCCTCCAGACCGCTGCATTAGTAATCTACCACACATGGACTTCTATATCCTGGATGAGGGAGTTCTGCGTCTAGCTCGTGCTGCGTGGAATGACATCTTTGCAGTCGATGACATCCAGGAACCAGGTGAAGAGCAGCGCTCATACAGACATGCAGCTTACAGCACAATCCCTTTCGCGTTTCCTCTTTTTAGCCTCCTCCGAAGGTTTAAAATTTTTCCTTGCCTCAGCCATGACCAGGAGTCGAGCAGGTGAAAAATGAGTAGCAAAAGCCTTAGCTCCATGAGTATATCAGCGCCTGTAGCCGTAAAGCAAGTCTTTCTTCCAAGTCACGTGACCTGGTGGCAGACGGTCCGTCTGCTCGAAACTTACATGGGCGGTATTTCAAGAGGGCAGCCCCGCTCGGAGCATTGCAAGTGTCAAGCGCTGTATATTGGCCCAAGTATTCATATAAAATAACTCATATGTGTCAACTCTTTAGGTCACAAAGTCCGCGGTGTGCCTTTAAAACAATATTCAAACAGTACACTGGTCAGAGAATTACAACAAAAACACAAAACCTGGATACTTAATGTCAACATTAGTACATAAAAACCAAATAAAAAGATAAATAACCCAACTTGCACTCATGTGTAGCTTGTGTCAGTGTGTGTGAGAGAGAGTGGGGGGGGGGGGGGGGGGGGGGGGGGGGGGGGTGGGGGGGGGGGAGTGTGTGTGTTTGACCAGTCTAAATGAGTAAAGACTTATATTTTGGCCAAATGTAAACTACATCCATGAACAGGTGTTATTTTTAATGTGATATAACATAAGCCTGCCCAGGGACTACAGGTGGAAATTAGCTCTTGAGCTATAACTTGGTACAACGCATCTCTCCTTTTGAGGTTAATGTTTATTGTGCACTGTCCTTGTCATCTTAAATAAATAAACTAACTAAAAACTAACTGTTATATGAGCCAGCAGAGCAGTCCGATATGATTCAGAGACTATCCTTATGTAAAATCCTCAGTACAATGTAGTTGAAGAGGCCTCCTTTAGATGCAAACATTTGGGGAAGAAAACTCCACTCACCACATGGGGCGCCAGAGTGGACTGGAAGTGCAGCAGGACCCCGATGACGGAGATCTGCTCCAGCCACTTGCGACTGGTCTCTTTGCAGTCCTCCTGATATTCTCCCGCGTTGTTGAACCTGCATCTCAGAGCGGCCAACAGCTGCTCCGCTAACGTGCACAGGGCTCCGGTCACAGCCTGACAGAAGATCACATCCCGTCGCAGCTGCAGAGACGTGTCTGTGGAGCAAACGTGTAAGTCAGAGAAGGAAACATTACAAACTACTATAATAATAAGGATAATACATCTTTGTTTGTATAGCACTTTTTAAAAACAATGTTTACAAAGCGCTGCACAGTCTGCATAATAAACAATAAAACAGTCATAATAATATAAAGTCAAAATAATTAGATATAATAGTAGATACAGGAAGATAAAGCAGACAGAGGAGACACAAGAAGAAAGACAAAGCAGACAGTAAAATACAACATGTGAAGTTTAAAACTGACAGTTAAAAGTGGGTTTAAAGGAGTGATTAAAAACATGACTGGGTACTAGTATTCCTAGATATATTCCATGTTGTACATCCCAAAAAAACTCCGACCACACCATGCCATCTTCAACTTCAGGAAATATGTGAAATTTAGCATAACTGTAAGAAAAAGCCTTGTGAGTCACTAACTGACACTTTGAGCTGAGAGCTGTTTGGCTTTTTGGCTGTGTGGGTCACTCTCTTTTTCACTTTTTTGTCTGAAAAAGCTGATCCAAAGATGTTAGAAGAGGTGAAAAACACTTGCATGAGAATCAAACTCCTTTAGAGAAAAGAGCCTCGTCAGACTAAATGTATGACATATTCAGTTTTTGGTCTCTATAAAGTCAAGTAAACCAGCTTTAAAGTTTAAACCCATCTAACGCGTTCCCAGATCTCAATCTAATCAGTCTCAATTTAAACATTTTAGATGGTAAAAGTGGACATACACACCCTCGCTCAGCTTTCAGCCAAATAATGACCCTATAATGACACACAGTGTGTTTTCTCAGAGGTTTCTTTAAAAAAAAAGAAAAAAGTGCAGTACATTGTGATCAATATTTGTTGGAAATTGGCAGAATATTGTTTTCACCAGGTTCTTTCTTTTCTGGTAACTGGAGCACCCAGAGGAAACTGGAGCAGACATAGGGAGAACAAACAAACTCCACACAGAAAGGCCAGTCCAAAATCAAACCCACAACCTTCTTGCTCTGAAGCACAAGTGCTAACCACTGCACCACTCAAAGCTCAAGCATTGTAGAAGATGTGTTTGTGCGCATGCATGATGGATGATCTCATTTGCAGAAGGTCCAAAGTCTAGTGTATTTAAAATACTTAGACCATGAAGTTTTTCCTGCTTCTTGACCGAGATTATTCAACCTGTCCATCAGCCTCTTTTTCCCCTTGTAGGGTTTTTCTTACGGCGTTTGCAAATGAGTATTATGCAATGAATCCTACCTGTGCATTTGAGCAAGGCCAGGAGAAGCTGGTTCTTTCCATCTGGAAGTCAAAGAAAAACATGTAATCTGGACTTGTAACAGTTGACGTAACAGTCTGCATCCCCCACTCACCATCCACAAATCTCTGCAGACTCTCCACCAGCGTCTTGATGGAGGTGGGCAGATTCCAGGGGTCCTCTTGGATGTTTTTATGGATAATGTATCGACAGCGAACCGTCCAGTCTTCAGTGTGACGAAACTCTGTTCACACGAATTCACAGGAAAGGGTCAGTCTTTTCGTCACCTCACTGGGAATCTACACCTGGAGCGTTAGCAGCACGTAACGTTGGCAAAGCTGAATACACGCATCTATTTACGAGCGTCAATCTCCACCAGAGGCGTTCAGTGCTGCCAATGCCACTGTTTTGGTCCAAAAACCCAGGTTGCCTCTTCCCTACACACACAGTGACACGGGCCTGGCATGCCTAAAAGACTCGCCCTTTAACACGCCTCGTGAAGTAGTCTTTTTGCCAAATCGTGTTCAGCGTGAACACAAAATAAAGCAGCAACTCCCACAACAATAAAACCAAATTATTTTGTAGCCATTGCTTACATTTGGGAGAAAAAGGTTCGAAAAAAAAAATCTAAAAGTCACATGAGGGACATAGAGCCATATAACAAGAGAGAAGCTCTGCCGTAAGGTTGTTCTTGAAAAAGTACGTTTGCTAAAATTATTATATTGCTCTATGTGGATGAGTTGAAGACGTCTATTATGACGCAATTTCCTACGATCCTGGGTGCACTGCTCTTCACCTTTAGAATCTTTATTTTGTTTTAAAAAAAATTGCGCATTGACAACTCCAACCAATTTTAAACTACGCAGAATTACGCGGTACACACGCATTTCACTGCTGGTGGAGATTGTCCGGCTGATATAAATGCTTATATAAATGAAAAGCGATTCTTGCATGTAAGCTGCGCCGCTACGTTTACGCACCGTAGATGCTTTGGTGTAATTTGGGGGTTAGCCTTCTCAGCTGAAACCTGCTTTCTGAGGCTCGCATACCTGGCTGGCTGTGGTCAGAGTAAAAGTGCTTTGTCTCTTCACAGGCCTTAGTCATGACTGGTCCCTTCAGCAAGTTGTTAATGGAGTCAACCTGTGGAGAGAACAATACATATCAAGACATTTCCATCAATAGGCATTATTTGTGTTAGTTTTGCCCCTTAAATATGATCGTGAGAACATTAATGTCAGCATTTATTTTTGTTTGTCAGAACTTGCACATCTCAGGGTTCACATTACAGCCAAAGATTTATGTGGGCCGCAAGGAATTCACGAAAAGACTGTCACATCCGAGAGAGACGAGCCGCGGAGCAATAGGTTTGAGCAGCAAAAACATAGACGTTCATCACCTGTAGCCGTGCCAAAAGAGGAAACTGTTGAAGTTGGAGGTGAGGTTTCGAGGTTGTAATAAAAGAAAGAAAGTGAAGTTGAGCTTGTTTCTCCAAAAAGACAGGAGTTAAAATAAACTTCCAACTCGACCCTGTGCTAATAGTGTATAAGGCCTGTGCTGTCTGCTGTCTTTCCCGTATTACTAAGAGCACAAAAAGACTTATCTCTGCTCTAAATGCAATTCTTTCTTTCTCACAGCTATGTTGGCTTTAGTTTCTAACAACATGTATTAAAGAAAAATATATCTATTTAGTGGTCAAGGTGTGAAAATGCTCTCTTTTAGTGAACAACATTATAATGAAAGCCTGCTGCTATGAATTATGTAATTAACTGGATATTCAAAGGATTTGTCATAGCCTACAAAGTTTGCAAAGGGAGCATTTAGGCAGAAGGGGCTGGGCGCAGGTGTTAGTGCAGATTTGCCCTTGTAGTTTCTGATAATAGCGTGGATGGAGCTGAAAACAACAAAACACAAGGAGTGTTTTTGATGAGGTTAAATGGTTATAAACAGCATTTGCATAAAATTATGTGTATTTTAAATCATACCCAAATATTTACAACAATAAGGATCGGTCTTGTCTATAGTTTCAAACATGTATTTCATCTTTTTCTGAACCAGCAGTCAAAGTGAAGCCAACATACTGTTTTGTAAAGAGGACACGTTTTGATTTACAGCTCTGTCATGTAACAGTAGATGATGATGATGGAAAGTCCGAAGCAGTGGAACTTATGTCAGTTACAAAGCAGCATCATTAAGAGAGTAAAGGAAACACGAAAACATGATATCTTGACCAAGCATAACAAGTTTACTCATTCCAGATGTCAGTGGATCACAATCATCTTCAAATGGTTACCCACTAAAATCAGATTTGTTTGTGTTGCTCAGCAGGAGAAAAAACCTGCATTTTAACCTTATTCAGTGACATTTATAATATTAAGGCTGAGATTTCTTCTGCAGTCCTCGTTGTAGACAGTGTGCGGTTGGTTACCTGGTTGAAGAGGTGCTCGAGGCAGCCGTGCAGTTTGTCCTGCTTGTCAGAGGGAATCCTCATGTCACAAGGCAACTCATCGCCTACGAGAAAATAATATATTAACAGAGTGTCTGCTGAGTACTGAGATATTTTTTTTGGTACAAATGTAAGCTATGGAGGCAAAGATTATACTATTATTTACCTAAATCTGGAGTACCTAACTCAAGATTTAAAACAGTTTTCACATGCTTCTGTTTAAATGAGCTTTTTCATCCAATCAGCTCTCAACCCAAAGCGCCAAACAGTGACTCAAAGGGCACTTTCCTTTTCATCTCAAGTATTCATCTTGATTCTGAAGATGAAGACAGCGTGTTGTGGTCTGATTTGTTCACAACAAGACTTTATTTTGGGACAAAAAGAAAAGAATTTTCTAAAAAACAAAAAGGTACCCAACGCATATAATGCATGACTTTTAAAATAAACATGATCTTACAATGATTTACTTTGAATTTGAGCCATACAAAAATATAACATTCTGCACCATACAGAAAGCACTGTACCCACAAAGAATATGAAATTAAACTTTGGGATTTCGAATTTTGTGAAAAAACATAAATCCCAAAACTTTTTAGGAGGTTTTGTTAGGTATGAAAGCATTTTTAGATGTGGGTCAGCGATAACTAATAGTGGATGGAGCCGAAACCAACTCCAGATATGTTATTGATGAGTGAACCATGTTGTGAAATGGTAAAAAATTCCAAATCATAAAAGTAGCATCACCTGATCCCATCTCATCGCTCCCGAGGTATGAGCTGTTGCTCCTCACACTGGTGTAGGACAGCACCGAGTCTCTGTTACTGTTGCACTCACTGAAAAAAATAACAAACGCTCTTATAACGTGGAAACTTCTCTGACCACAGAAGAGATTTGGAAGAGTCTATGTGGTCATTGTAATGTCAGGGAACACTAAACACCCCCTGTGATTTACAGAAAGTTACACAATGTTAATTAAATGCTTCTTGTAGAAATAACCTCAAGAAGCCAAAGGAAAAAAGCCTTGACAAACAAACAGGACATTAGAGCAGCCGTCATCCGCCGATTACGTCGCAGTGCTGGCCTTAATAAAAATATAGAATCAATAATAACCATTTATCTCTTTATTTTCGTTCAACAGGAAAAATCGTCTAAACTGTTATTTTTGTGTGTGTACAAAGCTTGTTTTAATTGGCCTGATTTTATCACATTGACAAATCAAAACGTAATAGAAGTCCTTTGAGATGACTGCTGTTGTGATTTTTGAGCTGCACAAAAATAAATTGTCTTGATTGGAAGCCGTTAAGATCATGTTGCATCGACAGTACTACCCCAGTTTGTGCACACTGGGGTAGTCATGCACAGTTTTTCCAATATGGTTTTACTGCAAATGGCAAATAAATTCTTGTATCTTGTTGTGTCTTGTATCTTGCTGAATGTAAAAACATTTAGAACTCCACCTCCATGCAGTGACAGTGTTTGATCATAAATAATCGCTTCATTTTTTCCCCTTCACATTGTTAATTGTGATATTCTTAGTTATAAATGAGCTTTGATTTTGCACACCAGGAGAATGTGGACGATTTATGTGACTAAAAGTACACGGTGCATGGTGAGCTGCCGAATCCCCTTGGAGCAACTCTGAATCATTTTTCTGTTTGAATTAACATTACAATTGGCCCACAAACTGAAAATCCTCCTTTGTCATTATGCGACTTAGCCACAAGACAAATGTTAATGTAACAATGGGTGGGTGTTTTCCTGCTGGGCGATTCTCTGATCTGACATGTGTGTGAACGTGCACATGTGGCACTGAAACACAAACGCTGCTACTACAAGCGTTGGCTGTATCCCATAAATTCAGATGTTTTTTTCTAGCCTCTTTCCACAATTCAGTTTATTTATTGCCTACCTAATTCTCTTTCCAGCGCTGTCCTACATTAGATCTGTCTTTCCTTGCAAACATGGGGTCTTTGTTCCAGCTGAAAACTCACTCACAAAGAGGTATGATCTAAATATAGCCGCACGACTGCCGCCAGAAGTGTGAATGTTACCGTCACAAATGTTTTACCAACAGCTTTGCTCTGGACGTAAGCGAAGATATCCAGTGTTTAAGTCAAAATATTTTGAAATAGGTTAATTCTAAATACACTTTACGCAACTTTACAGCGCTAATAGTACCAGACGGGTATTGGGCCATCGGATGATACTCGTGGGTACCATCTGATAGCTGCCAGACACCAATTTATCTTGCTTTCAGTTACTGTACAGTTGGGTATAATGGCTTTCGGATGATACCCTCGTGGGAACATCTGACAGCCATTGTTCTTTATCGGTTTGAAAATTGTGCCACACTTTATATATCGCTGCTAACTGTAACTAACTGTAACTTGGACTGTATTTTGATATATATGTTTAGAACTTGCAATTTTATTGAACTGCATTTTAATACTTAAGTTAGTCCCTGAATTGTATTTGAACTGTATTTAAATATGCAAGATATACTGTTGTATTGTCAAGGACTACAGATGGGAAGTAGAAGGTGCTAAATCTGGTGCAGCCATCTTTTTAATGCAACTGCACATTGTCCTTAAAGAATTACACCTTGAACCTTAAAACATAGCCATGGATTTGATTGTTTTGGCTGCATTTTGAAGATGATGAGTGGTAGCATCATTGAGCCGCTCTGGGGAGATCTGAAATGTGCAGCTCAAGGTGGCACAGGAATATACAGGAACTGGAAGCTTTTTACCTGGATGAACGGGCAGCTTTACCATCAGAGAAGACAAACAACCTCTTCCACAACTTCCATAAGAAACTTCAAGCTCTCAAATATGTTAAAGGGGCAACAGAGAAATGGGGGTATCGTAGATTCTGTTATCATAATATAACAATACAATTTTTTGACAATAAATAGCTCATTTCTGTCAACTCCACTTAAAAAAAAAACTATGGAAGACCCATGCAAGACCATATACTGTATATTATCCATATTTCTCTAATTATAAATGACACTTTAGTCACAGATTATTGGTATGTGTAGACAGGGGGGTAGCACCAAATTCTGGGCCCTGGGTACAAACAGTCTCAATGGGCCCCCACTACACGTTTTTTAATAATAATTTAATTAGTTAATAAAATTCTGATTCATGTCCTTTGGTTTTATTATCATCAATATTGTTTACAATATTTTTTATTACCCTCATGTAAAAAATTAATTGAGTAGCCTGTATATACAATAAACATTGCTTTATTTTCAAACAACGGCTTCACCAGGTTGATAACAGTAGTACCATGTCCATTTTATTTATTAACATTTAACAAAAACTAGAACTACACTGTTTGAGAACCATCAATGTAGTACAAAGATAAATGTATGGTCAATGTTTATCAAAAGCCCACTGACGGGTCTTTGCATTTGCAAAGTTTCTGATCAGGTCTTTAAAGTCCAGGTTTTTGGCCAACTGACTTTCTATGGAGAGTATTGCAAGGCTGTTCAGTCTCTCTTGGGACATTGTGGATCTTAAATAGTTATTTACAAGTTTAAGCTTACTGATTTATGGTTCATTATTATCCACCAATTTAGACTTTGTGGCAAAATTCAATCGATGCAATCTTTTTTGAAATAAGCCTATTCCATTTTCAACTAAACACCTGTGCCTAGCCTTACTCCGCCCACATGAACATTTGAAATTTTTCTGTAAAAATGGCACCAGTGGAGAAGGGGGGCTTACAGTTGGGCATGGTCTGGGCTGTGATTGTCAGTTTAAAAAAGCAATAGTTTACACACCAGAAAGTCTCATTTCACCCTTGTTTACACACTAAGATAATTGTAGAGCTAGAAACCTTTAGACCATTAGACTTATTTACATTATTTTGACCACTAGATGTCACCAGAAAACTCCAAATCGGTGCGGGGCGTGTGATTTGTATGGTTATAACCAGATGATCCAATGCAGAGGCCAGTGAGTGACCCGTGACTTATGACTGCAAGACTCACGGACGGACAGATTATGACAATAGTGGGAATATGGGTACAGGGTTGTACATGAAAATAACTCTTTGCTGCCTGCCTTTGAAGGAGAAGTGGACAGCAGTGTGTGTGAGCTCCCTTTACAGCTGCGCGTCTGTGTGTGTCACTCTGGATAACGTTTTTTTTTTTACCACGTACACGGCACACTGTTAGCTCTCCGTGAGTTTAGAATACAGAAACAAATGTCTCTGGGTTTTCTCCTGATGTGGCCTTAACACCTCTCGTGTGGAAGAACTGAGTAAGCAATTGCTTGCCCTCATTACACTTTTTCTCCCTGTCCTGTCTTTCTTTTCTTTTCTGAAATCCGGATTTTCCTTTCTTTGGAAAAGACATTTCTATTTTTCCCGCTTCTGCCGCTGCTTGTCAAACAAGTCAACTCGCTGCATGCAGCGGCAGCAACACAGCAACAAGCACACATGTGGGTCGTACCATTTGATCTTTTGTAAGGGGTGGCAGGGCCCTGATATAGCATACACATTTGTTTTTAGAGGAAAACTGAGGTTAAAACGTTGGTTATTTTTATACAGGGCCCCTTTCATTCAAATTGTAATAATATGAATATACCACAATGCCTAAAACATATAAATATAAAGACACACTTTAGAGGGCCCCTCCCCGCCTTGGGCCCTGGGTACTCGGTACCCTTTACCCCCCCAGTCCGACGCCCATGTGTGTAGAGCCATTCATGCCTCTCCTTTTCTTCCACTTAATTAATTTGCCTCATATACCATTATTTGCCGGAGTCTGCCTGAATTTGTTCGAGTCTGTAAAGTGTCAAGCACTACTGTATATGTGTGAGACTTTCAATGGACAGGGAGCGAGAACACTGACATAAATAAACTCGAAATAAATAGTCATTTTAGCTGTCGTCCCAGTTTTGCCCTTAATTATTACTTTCTCTTCTTTATGCTTACAGTTAGTCCCTCCTATCCTCTCATGACACATCCTTCCTAACAGAGACCTCCAGCTGTTGAGTTTTGCTGTCGCTTGATTAAGCCATAACTTTTTTTACTCTTCTACACATTTGCCAGTATTACCGTTCCTAATAGTCATTTATTTACTTTCACAAGGAGTAAACACTGGGCCATGCTCCTATAAACTATGCACAACAAATTTTATTGACGTGAGGTAGCCAGCGAGCCCCGACTGTAATGATAGGGCTACTGGAGAGGCCGCGCCCCTGGAGAGGCCTCTATTACACACCAGCCTACCGCACCAGCGACCAATAACTGGTCTTAGTGGGTGGTGAAGGGTGGGGTTATGTGGAAAAGGCCCATCGGACGGTGCAAGCAACATCTGAATGAACCAGCAATAAGCAAATGACATAAGCAGATCCGACCAGAGCATTTTGAAGTCATTTTTAGACTCTCAATTGTGGCGAAAATGCCAACATCTGGAATAGATTTTAGGCTGCTGCACGTAAATGGTAAGGAGGAATTTAAATGTATCTCAGAGGCTACCATTCAAGTGTAAAATAAGAAATTATTACTGTGTTATTTTTGCTGTTAACTATACAGAAAATATAATGTTAAGTATAAGATTGCAAAATAGCATTATCTACATACAAGTTCAGTCGGATATCGATTTACTGGACAAAAGTAACTTATAGAGTAACTTATAGAGGAACTAAATAGAGGAAAGCAAGATAAGTTATAGCTGTGTGGGTGGATATATATGTTTATGTCCCTGAAGTTGGCCTTCTCTTGTTTATTCATTTATGTGACAGGGACAGTACAACAGTTTAACCATTGCCACCAAAAAGTACTTCTACGAATAGTATGGGTCAAGCATAATTGGCCCCATTTGTCCACAATCAACCCAGAATTACTGTATCACAATTTGGGTGCATCCTTCAGTAAATATGCACTTGCCTTTTTGCGCTTTCACATGCTATGCTAGTGTCCAATTCTACTTCTCAATTCTACCCTGTACTTATAAGGGCAGGCACAATAAGCTTTGGCTTCAGCCTATGCCTGGTCATGCACAGACTTATTTATGTTATTTTGTTTGTTTTGATTTAAACTGGAATGACAGTGAATGACCAGACAACAATAAATGAAAGGAAAAGATCAAAGTCCAGAAGAGGGGTTACCTGTACGAGTCTCTGTAGCTCATCGTGTCGTGGCCCGAGTCCTCCTGGTCTTCTTCGTTCACTTTAAAACAGACCCTCTTTATGCCCCCATGTTCCACCTTGTCCTGGTCACAGCCGTCCTCACATGGAGCTATAGTGGGAGGCTGGCTGGGCTCGTACACCGGAGGGTCCCCACTGTCCCCCTGCAGCTGTGTTGGTTCTGTGATCGAGGACAACAGGCTGCAACAATACAAAAAAAAAAACAGAAGAAAATGATTATGATTCAGATCTATTTGTAAAACTGCTAGTACGAGGATATAAGCTTTCATTTTTCAATTTACTACCACCTTGACAAGAGTCTGCACAATGCGTGTTATCATTTGGCGAGACAGATTGCTTTGCTGTACAACTCTCAGCTCATAAATATTTTGGCCTAAAAAAAAATGCTTCTCTTCCGCGCTTTCTCAGTTTTAAACAACCAAGAAGCCAGGCAAAAAAGCTGCCGAGAGACGTGTTAAGACTGCAAGAGAGAATCCAGTCGATTTCTAAGTGAAGTCATGCACTGATCAAAGCAGTTCTGTAAGAATATCTTTATCATTAGGGCTGCAACCAATAGTCATGAGTGTTTTTCTTAATATTATTAATCAAGAAATTCAGTGTTCAAATGTTTTAGTTAAAATGTAATGTTTGAATTTATATGTGCAGTATATTAGTAGAAGAGAAAACATCTTGGTCCGAGCGAAGCGGCTACACCACCTCTGCTGCTCTGATCTGTCCTGCTCTACTCAGTGGCTATCTATCTATCTATCTTTCAACATGTAAAGAAGCCATCATGTACAGAACATTATTGACAGCACAATTACCATAAACTAGTTTGGAGGATATACCGTCCACAAGGTGATACTCTAAGCCAGGATTTGTCAAAGCATATCAACTTTGTTTTACATATTGCATTACGTATTCACTGGCCTTTTATGTCTTGTGGATCCATTATTGTGGTTCTTTTCTATTTGTATTGTTGTATGTCCTGTTTTATATTCTGTCTAGAAATCAACCTACCAATGAGACAGAAATTTAGATAGAAATTTCATGGCTAACTCAGATTTACATATTGGAAAGACACATTTATTTGAAACTATTTTAGACCATGAAGCGTGGAGGGACAGATGTACCTGATATACTGTAAGTGGATTGAATTATTATTATGTACATGATAGATCAAAAAAGACTTCCAGATCTGTTTAGCATGATATGTGTCTTATTAAATCATGGCAGGTCTGTGTATTGAGTAGTCAACGATTACTTGATGCCTGAACTAGCTGACAATACTCTTGCTGATTAACTTCTTTCAATTTATTGTTGCAGCCTGACCACAGCAGAGCACTTACACGTCTATTTGAGCCACGTAAAGCCGCATCTCCCTCACGGCCACGTCGAGTCGACTGTACAGCTGAATGTAGTTGTCCTGGCTCTCGGTGTCTTCCTGTTTGAGGAGGTTACTCAGGCCGCCTTCTCCTTGGCTCCTTCTGCCGTTCACACAGCCGTCCTCCAGCAGCACCTCCCCACTATCCTCTCCCTTGTCCCCCTCCAGACCACTGCAGGTCCACGATGGAGCTCCCATACTGGTCACACAGTGCTGCGTGTGGGACATGGGGTTCAGTTGGGCTGGAAGACAACAAAACATTTATTTTTTGAGAAACATTTAAATGTGGGCTCAAAAAAGTCAATTATATAGTAATAGATTGATTAAACACAGTAAGATGTATATTGTGTTCCCTCCATATATATTATTAAACAATACCCTAAATATAAATATATATATATATATATACATATATATATATATATTTAGGGTATTGTTTAATCACTGTGGCAGGTAAATGTGACCAAAGTTTAGCTCAAAAGTGATGCGTTTGGAGTAGTGCAGGCAGTAGAACAACACACCAAGGAGTAGAGAGTAGGATTGGGTTTTAAAGAAGAAATATTAAGCATAATTTTTGGTCCTTAAACATGATAATTGCACTTTTATATTTTGGAAATAATTTGAATAATTAACTTTGTAGAAAATGTATACCGGTAAACATGTGCGAGGAATGATCAATGGTTCCCCATGAAGTTTCCCACGTCTACCAACAGAGGGAGAGGTAGAATGAATTTGTTTTTATTTTCTAATTCAAACCATTCAAACTAAATCACAGGCACGCAAGTTGTACCGAACGTAATTTAATCAGAGAAATTGTCAAAAGTAATTTGTAAGCTAAAAGGAGCTGATGATATAAAAGTGCATGGATCATAGAAAATCAAGATTGAAACAGAAGCATTTGGACAAAAGCTTTTGTTGCAGAACTTCCTGATGTTAGCGTGAATGGAGCTAAAATTTACTCCAGTATTTAGACTTATATCACCTTTATTGGTCCACAAGGCGCCAACTGTAGCAAGTACAATTAAAATGGAATAAAACATTTTTAGAAACTAAATAGCTAAAATATGTTTTTTGCGTACAGTCATCTTTAAGTGATCTCAATATAGACGTTCTTAACTGGATGTAATTATAATCGAGACTAAAACGACATGCCCTCATTCCTCTAGCCTATGCTAAAACACCTCCCGTCAGCACAAGTGTGAGGCAGATGTCTCACTGGCAGCTGGAGCTCTATGAAAGATGAAGCTTTCAGATGCTGGAACAAAATGGGTTACTTCAATTGTCTGCTGTCTAGACGTCTGTTTATCTTCATATGGAGGAGAGGGACATTAAGATGCAGTTTGATATTGGAAAAACAAAAGTATGCATCAGGGGAAGGTACACACTTTTTGTTTCAAAGTACTTTTAGCGATTTGAGCCGCTCTTCGCTTTACCAGATGATGTGTAAAACTTTCTCTTCGACCTCAAGGATGACCCCGAGTGTGTGGCTGGCACGCATTCCTACATTGTCTCAAGGCACCGACACTGCTGACATCACTCAATCGTTCCTACATGCCAATAACATGGGAAAGGACTAATGGAGTCCTAATGGCCCACCACTCAGCTATAGGAAGTCTTGAGAGCTTAAGGGGAAACCTGCACATTCCAGTCTTTGTGTAGTGGGACTTGAATGGTCCGGAAAGGTCATCTGTCAAAATAGCCATCAAGCAGTGGCAAAGTGGGTCAGGATCATTGTGCTTAAGTAGCAGAACGAAGCTAGCGTGTCCTATACTAGTCGTTTGTGAACAAGAACATTTATGTAGATAAACAATGTAGAACCATAGACTGTAGAATGAGTGAGTTCAGCAAGAAGGTCCTGGGTTCAAATCCTGGTCAGAACAGGGCCTTTCTGAGTGGAGTGTGCATGTTTGCAATTGAATGAAGCCAACGCAAGAGCAACACTTTGCCTGTGAGCACATCCCTACAGGCTTCATAAAGTTAGCTTGGGTCTTTCTTGTATGTAGTCTGTATGTATAAAATGCTACAAATCGCATTTTACACATCCTCTTTGAATTCACCTTGATCGGGGTCCAGGCCAAAAATAGAGTTCTTGCGGCCGAATCGGATGCTGAACGTTCTGCCTGCAGATGTGGTGCTCTTTGGGTACGACACCTGCATTAGGTTTACATGACAGTTGGTGGGTACAAAGTCCATGCAGCCCAGACTGTGTGGACGTATTCCAGCCTGTCTGAAGGGGGGCCACACCTTGTTACCGAGCTCCAAAGCAAACTGAGGAGAAAGAGGAGAGAGACTTTCATTTAAACTGTGCAGAGAACACATCGACAATCATGTTCAGACATACAGCTCTGTAACTTCACTTTTAACCTGTGAAATGAGCAGAGGTGTACGTGTAGTCTTGCGTACTTAAGTAAACGTAAATATATTAAAATACAAAGGCACCCAGGTGAAAGCAAAAGTATTAAAATCATGGCAGATATAGGATGTTTTTGACTTGATCGTAGTGAGCCTGAGCTGCTCTGTTGAAGTGAAAACATTTAAAAGTCCTTAATTAAAATGGACTGCCTATTAAAATTGTTAGTGTAAAATATAAAAATATCAATGTGGGGGAAAAACAATAATGTTTTTGAATAATATATATGTAAAAATGTTATGTTCTTTTTAGCACAACCCTAAGTATTGAAACCTGAATAAATACTCAAGTACAGTACTGAAGTAAACATACCTTGTTGCTTTCGACCTTAAGCTTGTAATTGTACATTTGAAAAAAAAAAAAAAACAGGAGTCTGCATTTCAGATTCATGCGGCTAAAATCTGGAACAATCTTCCTGAAAATGTGTGACAGGCCTCCTCCCTGACAATGTTTAAATCCAGGTTAAAAACACTTCTGTTTCGCTGTGCATACAACTGAGAGATTTTATATTTTCATCCTTCTTTTAATGTTCTGTGACTGTTTATAATGTCAATGCCTTGTGTGATTTCTATCTTGATTTCCTCAGCACTTTGAGTTACAGTGTATGACTTGTGCTATACAATTGCCTTAACATTTTTAGGACGAGTCTCCATAGATCAATTTCTCACATACCAGTAATGATTAACATAGACAACAATTATCTAAGGAAAAGAGTTTAAAATACCTGCTGGTAATTTCTGATTCGCCGCCGGATACTTTCCAGCTTGGTGTCACAAATCTGTCTGAACTCGAACTGAGGCATCGTAACCACTCGGTCGCTCTGGGAGATGAGCTGACTGCAGTTGTGCACAAAGAGGCTGTCGTCATTACAAAACGCCTCGAGGATCTGGAGGAACATGAAGCACAAACCAGGAGAGCTTATTACCACAATAAAAGAAGAAACTCATAGTCACCTCTCATACACCTGAGGGTACAGAAGGCGTTTGAATGTCAATACTAACCACAAAATCCATGCACTGTTATCATATCTCTTGTTTGTTATTACCTCAAACAACTATAACACTGTCCCGCCTTTGATGGGATTTCAGTCATCCATTTCAAATCACTGCTTGTATGTTTGTTTTATGCTTGCATTTTCACAGGTGATGCCATGTTTACTGTCACAACATGTCTTGGTAATACATCCCTATCTTACAATTGTGTGGTATTGAAAAACAAACTAACTTGCTTTTCAACAATATTACATTTAAAAGCTACGCATGATTACGACCAATATCATATCATATTTGCTGGAGGAGAACAGTTAAACCAATGACAACTGATTTCAGGATTTCAGGAAGCTGTGGGGCTGAACATGGCCATGTCTGACTAGTTCTGGTCTTAACCTTTTTGTTTTTTTTGTTTCATTTTTTTATTTTTTTTATGATTTTATATTTAGATACTATTTAGATAGTTTTAATCTACTAGAAACTAGTTTTAATCTACTAGAAACACTTCATTTTTCTTATGTGCTACTTCAGGTGCTAATGGACACCTGAATTTCTACTATGGGGATCAAAAAGGTATCTATCTATCTATATATCTATCCATCTAAGCTATTAAATAATCATACACTCTTTTAATTCTCTGCTATCGGGCGTTAAGATAAAGGACATCTCGCTTTGCCAACAGCTTCTTTCCACTGTTATCAGTTTAAACAGAGCACTTTAATAATTGTGCACTTAAAAAATGTTTTAGTTGATTGTCGTTAGTTTCATTCCTATACTTTTAATCTTGTTTTGTTTATCTACTTGTCTGGTGCACACTGGGGACTTTTGCAAATATATTCCAGTGTAGTTTTACTGCAAATGGCAAATATGAATCTGAAGTTATGATTCCGGAGATTTTAAACTTCCCCTTTAACCTACCTTTGCAGTGAGGCTAAAGCAACCTTTAGGCGCCACAATCTTCTCCAGGACATTGCACTTAATACCGGCTGTGCTGACGTACTCGTACACCACGCCATGCTCTAAATGAACGTTGTCAACTGTGAGGCTGACTGATGGGAGGTCTTCAGACAGGGAAAGTCTGTTGAGTTGGTAGTCTACAAAACACAGAAATGTACAAGTCAACAAGTCAGCTTTTGTGTTCATCTTTAAATGAAAAAAGAGCAGGGAATCAATGTCACCTGTTCCATTAGTGCCATTCTCTTCATCGTGGTCTGATCCATTTTCTACCGAATATGGCCGCAATACGTCCTCCTTTTGCTGTGAGTCTTGAGCCTCTGCATCTGCGAACGCTCTGTATACCCACTGACCCTGGAGAAAACACATGCCTTCAGTCAATCATCACATCAGCCACAACTAAAATGTAAAAATATCTATGAGACTGAAAAACTGTCCTGGTTTCTGAAAATAAATGTTATTTGAAATGTTTCAGCAAGCAACGACAAAAGTAGTATTTTTGATGCTTGCAATGTTTTTTAATGCTTCAATCCATAGTTTCAAATATATCAAATAAAAAGAGATGGGGTTGAAGCTGTGAAAAATGTGGTAAATTGCCATTGCCTCCCAAAACATTGTCTACTTCTCCTTAGGTCATTCAAATCAGGAATGAATATATTTCCAGTCATAAACCCATGAACAAATCCCATTGGAAAAGCGATATTCTTAATCCATGATAATCTGTGTGAGGCTCATCAATTATGTAGTTCACTTCAGTTCAAATTTCAATATTATGCTATATGTTATAAAAGAGAAAGCTGCGCCCTTCATGAAGGCGTTCAGCATGACTTCTAATAAACACAATTTCCAGAAAACGTCATCACATCAAAGGCCCTACACGCCCGCATACAAAATGGGCTCAACATATCACGGATTCAGAAAAGAAAAATTCAGTAAGAACCCACGGGGGTGACTAGGTGGCTGTGGTCAGAGGACTGAGGGGAGAGCAATGGCATCTCGTGGTTATAAAGATACCTAAAAAGCAGCTTTGAGCGTGTCAATGATAAAGGAATCACATGCTCGTTTGTCTGTATTCTGACCGCGTGCAGAGGCTCCTGGTGCGTGTGCTGGCCGCTGAAGTGCTCCAGAACTTCCTGGAAGTCGCTGAGGTTCACGTTGTTACCGTTGACCTTGAGGATGACCTGTCCAGGCTGAAGCCCCGCCCCCGCTGCCTCCAGGCCTGCAAGAGTCAAAGCAAGTCATGGGTCAAAGCAGGAATTCAAACACTGCATTTCAACAACTGAGGACAGCACTTTCAATCATCATACATGCTTGTGAACATCCCCTTTAACCTACAGGCCATGCACTTTTAAATCACTTATAGATTTCAAAACTAAAGTTAAACAGCAAGGTTTTATTCCTTAGCATGTTGTCCCTAGCCACACAATGCAGCCAGGAAGTTCAATCAACACCCTCATCTTTAATTCAGAGCTAAAAATACAATCTCTGACATCACTTTAAACCAGTGTTGACGATTACCCAAGACGAACGACTGAGTGAAAGAACACAGGAGATTGAAGCCTATTTTAAGATTCAGAATGAGGAGAAATGACATGTAAAAAAAAAAAAACATGTTTTTTAAATACTTGTTTAATCATGTTGTGCATTAATCATGGACTTACTTATTTTGTCCCCAAGTGTAATAACACATGTCACATTTTATTATAACAACATGACTAGTGCGTTGAACTCTGACCGGAGGCAATAAACCTCATAGAAGTCTGCTTAAAACAGAAAAGAACAGGTGGTTTGAAGATAGAGTTACACCAGCTTTCTTTTTGGATGATAAAAAAGCATGAACAATGGGGAAAAAACAGTATTTCTCTATCCTTTATATCACAGGTTTCAAAAGTATTAGAATACCCCCTGAAAATCAAAACTATCACACAAAGTTCAAATTAATTTCACACATATTTTGCGAGCTCACCTTTTCTGATCGCATGCACATGAGGAGGAGCAGAGCCCGACAGCCTGAATGAAAGACTGTCCGGATTATCAGGAATCTTCACAATCCTAGGAGAGAATTAGCATTTATATTGACATGCATTTTCTTTCCAAAAAATTTTCGTCCTCGTGAGTGGCGTCTTACTCCTTGGCTTTGGTGGCGACCAGCAGCCGCAGAGACCTCCGTATGCAGAAGGACTGGCTGATCATCGTTTCCACCTCAGAGAATGGCCTGAGAAACAGCAGGTCCTCGTTGATGGTGTAGATCTTGCGGCCCACCTGTAGACCGGCCATCTGCACACAGAGACGCACAGATGGACACGTATTAGCAGATCACTCAATCTAAAACACAAAGCTTCATATGATCTACAATAGAAAACACTCAACAGATTCAAGATCAAAAAATGTATTTGCCATTTGCGCATACACATATGGAATTTTAGTACAGGTCAAGTTAAAAAATAAAAAGTTGCAGACATACAAATACAGAAGAACACGTCAAATACATTAAGTACATAACATAGTGTGAAAGTAGCAGTGGGGCAATTAAAAACAACACACGTGACACTATGTCAAATCACTCAAGCAGGCGAGGAGATGAATAGTTATGGCTTCTGCCTCCGTTTGAGCTTAATTTAACCCAATTATTTTGCATTTTGACTCAAACTACACACATTACAACTGGATCTCAATATTCAGTCTGAACAGGTTTATTATTTAAGAATTGACGGACAGACTTCACGGACTGTAAACCGGTGATATACATTTAGCACACAGTAATTGCCTGCTGTCCTGAGCTGATGTTTTAACTGAAAGCAATAAATAAAATGCTTCAGCTCACAAGAATATTTTATATTGTTTTCCCCACATATGTTTTGTTAATGGTATTTTATTGAAATAGATAGACAAACTTTTAATTGGCCCTCCTATACTTTTTACTTTTTTCAAACATATATAATCTAATTATTCACTGACACAGAGTTCCATTTGAAACTGCCAGCCCTTGCAGCTCTGCACATGAATACCAGCAGTCACCTCTCACATCTCCAGTCACGTTGTAGAAAGAATGTCGCTTCTGTGCGGCTCCTGTGTGAGCCCAGTGTCCTGGGCACAGATCCGGAGGGAGGCCGCTCATTGGGTAAGAGCCCAAAAGAGATGAGAAATGACTGCAGCAGCAGTAGTTACATCAAACACACCTCAGTGAATATAGAGTAGTAGAGCATTGACGTCCAATTTGTGACTTATAAACCTGATACGGTTCTGTAGTGTAGTGTGTTGGTGTGACCCCTTTTCTGAGCCCCCATGGGAACATAGCTGAGGCTCAGTTGAGGACCTGGCACCATCTGATCACCACTAACTACTATAGGAAGGACCCAAATGTGTACTTCACAAGTGAGTCATAGGACATATCTTCTCAGAATAAGAAAACAAAAATATGTATATTGTATAGCAGCTTTGTTAGTCTAGTGAAAAGTGAGACACTTAAAAATGTCTACTATGTCCAATACAATACAATACAATGTGTTCCTGTATAGCCCTAAATCACAACAGTAGTTATCTCAGAGGACTTAAAAAACCATTGAAATCACCAACACAGATCAGAGAATCAACAGTTAAGACACAATACAAATAGAAAACAAATGTATTGGTCCATAGGTAGAGACCAATGTCCATGTATGTTGATAAATGTCCATACGTGTTGTAGAATGTTAAAGTGCCCTGGATCATCACCACAGTCCTTCTTGTTAGATACTAACTGTTACACAGACCCACCAGGCAGGAAAAAACTCCAAAACCCAGTGGGAGAAAAGTGAGAAATCATAGTCATAGACTTTTCACTTCCTGTGTTTTTCTTTTCTTCTCAAGAACATATTCCTTTTTGAAAGTGCAGTAGATTAAAGGCATGTCTAGTAAAGAGAGACAGCAGTTGCCTGAAGGAGCCCCGTCTTACCTCCAGCACAGAGTGACCATTACCTCAGCGTGGGAGCCTCTTGTGACAGACTTCACCACAATGGCCTTGTTTTTCTCCTCTATCTCAAAGCCGTAGTCCTCCTCCTCGGGGTGAATCTAGGCAAGATAATATCTTAATCAGCTTTTGCACACAGGAGGTATTTAACAAGCACAAAAAGTCATGACAGGACTAAAGTTACAAATAAAAAATGTATGGATAGTTTTGAACATAGAAACTTATTGTTTTAGGCTTGTTTTCATTGTGGTAGAGCCACAAAAACAGCTTAGAACTGTTATTCTGTGTTTATACAACACTTACTGAGTCTAGTCTGTAATTTGCACTTTCAACTCATGTCAGGTGCTTTTTAGTTCAAATGGTATTGTATTCCCGAGTGGACCAGCGTAATCCTGTCATCACCAAGTGCATTAGCCTGCTTCCATTATCGGAGCAGCCTGGGCCATCTTCCTGCTGCATGCCGCTGATAAGATGCAGATCTCTCTGTTATTGTATCTGGGGAGATTGCTTCTGTAAATAAAGAATTCCCACACCAATGGCTTCAACAGCATTCATAATCATGGATTAGATCAGCTGCTAATCACAGAGTCAAGTCCCATTGTGCTCTTTCTTCCACATTCAAAGAGTCGAACAGTTGGCTTTGCAACGATATACAGCAGTTAAAATGGGAAGAAATAGAATCATGCTTTATTTGTAATATAATAAAATATAGTTTTAATCTGAAAGAATATTAACAAGATTTTATAAAGGTAAAATAATATATTGGGAGGAAAGGAAGATCACAATTAAGAATGTAAACATAATCATTCATCTTTTGGCCAATAAGAGTAGGTAGCTTGGATTACAATAACTAAATATTAGGCCTGCGTGTGCCTACTGTATCACCACCCCAGGACAGAAGATAATACTTTGATACAAACGGCCACAATAATCCACGCGGACATAGAGAGGAGTTTGTGCTGTAACATTATCTACTCTTCATTAAAATGCACAGCGATCACAGCTTATTGAAAGGTGGCACTAAAGCTGCCCGAGCGCTCGCGGGTAAAGTGTTATGTTGTATGTATTTGTGGGGATTTTAATTACATTGAGCCTTGAGGATCAGGAAGCACAGGACACCTACCACCAGAGACTTGACCAGGATGTTCTCCATGAGTTTGAAGTCATTGCGCTGCAGCTGTTTGCTCTTGACGCCGGTTCCCTCAGTCTCTTCATCAGCGTAGAAGCGGAAAAACTGGGAGTCATCTTTGAACTCACTCTTCTCCAACACTGAAAGAACAATCCTTCTTTAAGTGACATCAAAAGCATAGCGATTTACTTCAAATCTGTACAATTAGAGTTAACCACACATCCATTTGAATTTGCTCCGTCTGATGCAAAGAAAATTTCCAACATAGAAGAATACATATGTTTATCAGATGAAGAAGGATCAAAGTACTGAAATGACCCCCTTGAAATGAAGAGTCATACTTTCTCTCCCATCTATTTGTAAACATAAAACATGTAACAGTGTAATTGAAGGCATTCAGTTGTAACGCATGTCATATCACTGGAGAAATTCCCCAAAAATATTTACAGGATACTGCTCTGCACATAACATAGTAGTATAAGAAGTTGTCAAAGCATCACAAGTTTGAGATAAGAGCACACAGACTTAAGGGATGGGGAATTGTATATGGGACTGAAAAAAGCCTTATCAGCATGGACGGAGGAATAATCTACTCCAGGTATTTGAATATTGAGAGAAACAATGTTGGGCTTTTCATACTTTTGACAAATTCAACAGTTGAATGAGACACTAATGGGCAACATGTTTTAATAACTAGGAGAGAAAGTTGTGATTTATGTATCTCAAATGCCACTTAAACTAGAACCATCTTCACACAAATACACTAATAGTTAATTATCTCATTAGGTGATGTCATCTGGAGCCAAAGCACATCTGGCTTGACGCAAAACACAGGCTGGGACTAGACTCTCTCCAGGGACACGGACAAAGACTTTTTTTTTTGTTTTTCCTGTATGATGGTTTGCTCATTAACACATGGGGCTCTTCTCACGTGAAAATACAGTGACGAGACAATCATTACGGTCCAATAATGAATCATTTTTTGTTTTGTATTTATTCCATTACGTTAGACATAGTGGAAAGCCTACATTCCTTTCCGACAAGATGGAACCCTCGCTTCAGTCACCACTGAGGGACTTCAGTGTAGCACTTCAGCAAGAATGTATTTCACCTACAAGTTGAAAGCTTAATATTATGAGTATTATTATCATTAACCTCATCCTCGTCCGTATAATTATATTACTAACTTGTTTAACAATATCTCACAGTGGAACAGGATCTTGAGAGAGGTCTTTCCATAGAGATACGAGATAGGACTAATGGGCTGATCTATACATTTTAGGGAATTGTGACAAAGATTGCATTCAATACTACTTTAATGAAGAAAAACAACATTGTCTTTGAATTTCTTTATAATAATAATAATAATAATAATAATCTTTATTTATATAGCACTTTTAAGAACAGTGTTTACAAAGCGCTGCACAGTCAGCATGATAAGTGTCTAATGTCTGAAGTTTGCTCCTAGAAAATGCATGACAAAATCTCGCCAAGCAGAAATCCTCTCTTGTCCCACCACCAATTATTTATATATTTGGGTCGTCTTTGCCACAGAAATAATATGTTTCTGAAATAATACGATTCTATAGTCACTATTGGCGAGACCCGAACACAGAAGAGCCCAGCTGTTATAAGATTTGGAACGCATCTGCCCTTCTCAAACCGATTACACACACGCCCACACAGCGATCGCCCAACAGCTCAGACTCTACCACAAGAAGCACTCGAACCGGAAGCAGCAATATCAAGTTATCATCAGAATGACTCACACACTTGTAAATCAGTGCAACAAGATCTGATGTCATTATCAAAGAAGTTTACAGCTGTGTTTGGAGAATGCATGCGGTAGGTATTTCACGATAGCACAACAATAGACTGGGTACTGTAAGTACTTTTGCCCAAGTAAATAATGACTTACATTTGTACGCATGAAATACAACAGCATAAAAGGGCTTAAAGCTTAGAAGACAAAAAAGTAGTTAACCTTCTAAGCTTCAAAAACTATAAGAAACATAAGACAAAGAATTTAACTTTGGATAAAAAATATGGTTGTTTAAAATACTATTGTGTGAATAAGACACATTTTGGCTCTGGTTTAAAAGTGCAACTTCTAATGTAAAAAAAAATATATACTGTACTTTAGCACATTTGACCCTTTATCACAGTTGTGTCTGCAATGCTCAGGGATTCATTATCTTGTAGATTTTCTACAACATAATGCGGTGCAGAGAAAACCTTCGACACTATTGATCCTATAGCATCCTATAGAGCCCACTGTGATGGAAGGTAAAGGCACCACTAGATCTGCAGCCTACAGTATGTTCAAAGTCTCATGTCCATCCAGGAAGTAACATTATAAACCATGAATATACCATAAAGATACCAATCTTAACTATAATGGACATGCTTAACTGCTTATACCCTAAAAATGCATCTATGTAATTTTAATAGCAGTGCATAAATGAATGAAAACAGGTAAAATGTATTCCAAGATGAATGAATGCTCTGTGATTATATATGCTTTTAAGTTTACTGTTTTTAATGTAAATTTTTTTACATAAAGTAACTTTCTGTGTGTGTTGTGCAGTACAAAAATACTTGCCTAATATGGGTACAATAAGAAATGGATTCCTAATAAAAGTGTCTTAGGAATTTCTTATTGCACTTTGCAGCTGCAACAATTTATGACAAAAGAAAGATACCCAGGTCAAATGAGAGTCAAAGACAGAAGGAGTGGTTGTGCTGAATCAGGATTCAAGAGGCCTAAAGCTAAAGAGGTGAGAGGTGCAGAGGAGAGGAGGGGACAGAGGCCACGACCCCCACAAACAGGTGACAACAGAACAGATGGCACGAGGGGCAAACGCTGGCTTTCCATGTGCGGGTGAAGACATTTCAAAAGTTCAAACAAATCACTAAGAAACAGCAATGGAAGAAAATAGGCAGCAAACAAACACATTCAAGAAATCCCTCTTTAACCAACATGTAGTTATACGTTTTTTACCCTGTCACGGCCAGTCATCTTGAGTGTATGAAACAAAATATTTTTCTTTTTCTCTGAATCTGTCATCTCCTTTTTAGTCCTCTCCAGCGGTCACAGCTGAGTGGAGTGACCCAGACGGTCATGTAGCTACGCCAAACATGTCTGGTTAGGGAACACTGCTAATGCTGTTTATGTTGTCCAGGATGGGCAGGAACCGTGTGGTCACAGAGGCTACTGTGGCTGAAGCTACGGCCCCTATTCAGGACGATGAGGCAATGAAAGTGGTAAAGCTAATATTATTTTATGGGTGGGGATGAAGACATAAAGGGTAAAATGAGCGTGTAATTTCAGTATGCATTTTTGCTCAAATGTTTGCTCATAACTAGTATGCAAAAGTTTAAAAAAAGACATGTCGCTTGGCCTGTAACAATTGATTCTTGATTTTTGAGCCTTACACACACATTCTATAAGGACTGCAAAATTAGTTGCGATTTTACAATGTGTTAAAAAAGTATTTCTAATCAAACAACCCTATAGGTCATCTTATAATAGTAATTGTAAAACTACTGCTCACATGATTTTTGAGGTTTTTGGGAATGCATACAGAACAATCAGTTTGAATGATCAAGCCAACATTCCAGACAAGAATAAAATGTTTCCGAGACATTAAGTATGGTAGAAGAAAACCCAATATGAATTTTTCAAATAATTGTGGCACTGACCATGGTGCATGAAGCCGCTGTTGCAGAGGCCCACTCCAAGCGTCACAGCATCCTCTCGGGTCGAGCAGTCTCCCTGGGAAACACAATCAATGACGCACACAAGAGGTCACTCACAATGCTGTTTACACCTTTTGGAGAAACAGTAGCCGAGCCCTGGTCCAGGAAATACAATCAGAGTGGTCGATCATTGGATTACATTTGACACAAGGTGGAGATGGCGGCCGTACGGGATGAAGACATTATTCTTTATGATCAATTATGACAGCGTTTTGTTTTGCAGTATAGGAAAATAAATGTGTTGTAGATAACAAATCGTTTATCTGAGAACAGGAACATGATTTGTACAGCCTCAAAGATTATATTCCCATATTGAGACTTGCAGTGTTTTAAGCCGGGACCAAACAATCGCAGACTTTTATGACCCGTTTTAGTTTTTGGCCATGAGAAATACCGGAATATGTCAAAATAAAGAGTCAAAACAAACTTCAGACTTTCAAAGTAAGTTTTCTACAGTCATGATGGGAACACCCAAGATCACTTTCCAACTGATATTTACAAGGACAACTTCTTACAGGAGAGTATGCCACAGCCCAAGCTTGATAGTAAGAGCTTTACACAGCTCCACGGAGCAAAAAAGTATTGTCCCTCGTGTGACTTGAGTGCAGGCTATATATACACAGTATACACGTATGTCTCATGTTTTTGCTGTCTAAATTCTTGCTTCAGTTGGTCTACATGTTCACACTGAGCCTGCCTCAGAAAAAGTGTAGGGTTCGAAGAGGGTCTATCACAGATTCTGACACTCTGGGGACTTTGGTCAAATAGTCCTGGTTTTTGATCAGTGTGATACGCCACCAATTCAATTCTGTAAAGCCCTTCATATACTGGCACCTCTTCATGGTTTGCTTGCAAATCATGAGTCCTTGGAAAAAGGATGGATAATCATCTTTCTAAAATAAAGCTCTTTGTAAGTGGAAAGGTCCTAATATCATGTGTTCTCCAACACTGGGTGCAAAAGAGTAAAGCAAAGATCATTACTAGATGTTTTAATGTCTCTGTTTGGTATGAAGTCGGATCTGCTATTAAACACACCGAGATGCATTCATTAATATGAAATGTGTTATATAACAACCATGCGTTTTCATTTTCAGTTTAAAATGCTGAAAATCATTAACTTTGTCAAGTCCTAATTATCCACAGCTGGTGAGGCGGTAAAGCTAGAAGAAGTCATTTTGAATCAGCCACATTAACATCGCATTTCTAGTTAGGTCAGATGCAAATGAACTGCACGACACAGAGACACATTTTCCTCAAAAACACAAACGGATTAATTTCCCTTGTTTTACAACATTGAGTGTACATGTAGAATATCAAAACCATTACCTGTGAGAGCAACCAGTCCACAAATTTGCTTGCAGGCATAACAGACTTGAACGTTTTCAAATGGTGGTCTCTGTCCCTGTAAAAATATCAACAGACCCATTAGCATAAACATTTTGAACACTGAAGCCATTTGATTTCTCTCCCTTGTTCTTGTCATAACTAAATCAAATAAATATAAGCTGTATTTGTCAGTTACGATTTCAGAAATATACTAAAACCTAATTAATGGTAACACTCAACAATAGCAGTGGAGTGATGGATTAAAAAGCCAACGTTGGTTAAATATTGCATGGGAGGCCGAGCAACTGCTTTTGTATGTTAATAAGATCTGCCCCTGGTCCAGAAGCCTTTGTTTACGCCAGTCACTGTCCTGGACACTTTAATCAGGCCGGGAGATGAGGAGGAAGATAGAAAAGAAGAGAGGATGTCATGTGTTGCTTTTTTTGAGGATAGGCTAAATTAAAATAGAGTTTATAATACCATAAAAGCGAATATTAAAAACAAGATTTAAAAACAACTGGGAGCAAATTCCATGCATACAAATCTCATAATGTTGTTTGCTTTCATTTGTTCAGACTTTAGCAGTGTCTCTTTTTGTTGAGTAAATTGTTAATCTATTGGTTAAACACAGAGGGAATTGGTTTAACGTCGATTCAACGGGTTGCAGTTTGTGTGCTTTGTAAAAAAAAAAAAAAATTCAATGATAGAAAATGGAAACAGTTAAATAATGCAAATAAAACTATCCAACTACTCTCAAAACATCACTAGTTGATTTTTAATGCCAAAAACTGGAGTAAATATACAACTAGCCTCACTCAGCCAATCAGCTCTCAACCCAAAGAGTCATATGTTGTCTCAAAGGGATCCTTCTTACAATTATGCAAAAAACGAATGAGATGAACAAGAGGGAGGTTGACGAGCACATCCAAACCTTGAGCAGCGTGCAAAAAAGTTGAAAATAGCAGATGAAAAAATGGAGAGGACTCTGCACAGCTTGAGCTCCCAAAGAAGTATTTTATTTGCACCACATGATGAGACGTTTCGGGCAAGAACAACCCTTCATCAGACAGACTGATGAAAAAGTTGTGATCCGATTTGTTTACAGAATTATTATTTTACTAGCCGCTTTCAATGAGGATATATCAAATTAATTATTCGACATCCCAGCTTTAATATAGGGCAATTCATATTAAAGTTGAGGTATCTAACTTTTTATTTTATTTCTAACTAATACATGTGTGTCCCATTAAAACAGGCCATCTTCATCTTTTGCATACTACTAAGTGCTTATTGGCTGAGTGAGGGTGGGTCTCTCTTCTTCACTTTACAGTCTGAAAAAGCTGATCTATAGACGCATGCATGTGAAAGTTAGATGCCTCAGCTTTAGATCAGAAAAATAGATCAGGAAAAAGAACGTCTACCCAGTATTTCTCCACAATGAATGATTCACAGGAAAAATCTGCCCACTTTTATTTGTCAAGTAGATGTCGTGTTGCCACTTGTCGACCGCAACGTAACGTCTCCTTAATCTTTGAAGATCCTCCGCAGTCATAAAAATCGTGGCATTTATGACACGAGGAGAAGCTGAAACATTCTTAACAGCTAAGGCTTGGCTCCACGTTGGTATGGTATGATTTTTATTTTTACAGGGACAGTGTAAATAAACATTAGCCAAAAGGAGTGGTGCATTTTACCAGGTTTGAACAGGACTAATCATTTACACTTGTAGTCCCGTCCCTCTGCAGGTTGATATTAGAGTAAAACAAAATTATACGGATTTAAGACCATACACTACATATATTATCTTTTTTGAGCTTTCAACAATTTTACTACATAGTTCCAAATCAAAAACAGAAGTATTGCCAATTTATGTTGGTCATTTCTCAAGCAAAAAAATAATTCTTTGCAATCTTATGGCAGTGGTTGCAGCCGGTAATTTTCAAATTTAGAAAAAAACTAATCTAACTAATCTCTCGCACAATGATAGGATTATAATTATTTTTCTTTTCTATCAAAGTTTAAATCCAGGTTAAAAACAGCTCTGTTTAGCTGTGCATACAACTGAGGGATTTAGCCCTTTTTTTCTTTCTTTTTAATGTACTGTGATTATTTAAACTTTGTGTATATTTAAAGCCTTGTGTGACTCTTTCTATCTTGTTTTGTTTGAGCTTGCCTTGCCATACTTCATATATTACATCATAATTTTTCTTTGCCATCCTTTATAACATGTCACTCACACACACATTCAGGTCGGAAAGGAAAGCTCTCCGAAGGCACTGTGTTTTATTCAACCATACATGACGTGGGCCCAATGTGATCCCTCGATGAATATGTATGCGCACCTGGCACTGGCCTCATTAGCATGGGGATGGGGGGGTGGGGGGTTGGGTAGGGGTTGGAGGGTATCAGGGGCAGGTACTTACTTGATGACTGGCGTGTGGAGGCTGTGCAGGCGGCAGTACAGTCTGACGCCCTGAAACATAGGAGGAGTGGAGCCGGTGAGTCAGAGCACACACCTTGGGTAAACATGAACACGCGAGGCCCCGGGACATAACATTTCAGCGACAGTAAAAGCCGTTATCCCTCAGCTATGCTTTTCAAAAGAGAGATTTAGACACCATAAACTCGTTCAGGAGGAGCCCAAGGCGTGATTCTGACAGCAAGGGCAAAACCAGTTTAAAATGTATCTCATCGTTTGTGGTAAAATGATTATGTCTACGGTTTAGATGACAAAGATGTTTTTTTTTTAATCAACTATACAATTCATTTAAGTGTAATTTGTATGTAGGATGCAACTCAGATAATTACAATGTCTGTGAAAACAAATATATAGCTTATCACATTTGGGCTTTAAGCAAGAATTGCGTCATTATCACAAGATAGATATTTGATTGCATTTTGTCGTTTGTAACATCTTCTATCAAATTAATGTAATTGTTCTTTTAAAATAAACTAGTGCAATACTTATAGAAGTATGTATTCCTAGGGCATGTTCCACTTGTTAGTCTGGTTCACTTAAACTGAGCTAATTCTGGTTCACTTGGGGCAAGAATTCTTATTTGTAATGCAAATTAAAATCACCTGAACAAGTGAACAAGTGAACATTAGTCACTTATGTCAGCAAATCTGATTCACTTGGTCTAGTCTGTACTGAACGTGCCCTAAGCAGGGCCAATTATAGATAGGACTTCAAAGTTTTGAAAATAGATCAAACTAAAATCAAACTAAAATGAAGGATACATCCAATCATGTGACGCAGAAGCCATATCCGAAGGCTGAGGTCGACCGTAGTGACATATTCTACAGAGAGACACTCAAAACGCTCTGTGCGTAATAGATGTTTCAAATCAAAACGAGAATGTTATGAAAAGCCTCCAGTTCTTAATGTTACCTTCGACATGATGTCCTCCATCTCGCTGCGAGCTTTGTAAGTGCCGTCGTCATAACGGAACCGGTACAGGACCTGCTCGTTCTTAAATTGATGTTTGTCTGACACTGAAAAAGAAAAAAAATATATATATATTTATAAATAAATAACAAATTATTTCTTCAGCACAAAATGTTCTGTGAAAGCTGGGTTTTTTGTTTCATTAATATATTTGGTTTGGTAAAAGTAAAATCTGTGAACAAATAAAATCACAATGTGCATCCTAGATCTTTTTAGAAAAATCTTACTTTTTTTGTCTGAAAAAGGTGTTTTAAAGCTGTGATAGAAGCCAAAATGTGAAAACTCCAGCTTGATAGTAAAAAATAAGAACAAAATAACAATACCAATACTTTGGACACAAACACATTTCTCTTGTTATTTTCTGTGGCTGGGATGAATAACAAAGGAAGTTTTACCTAGTATTGTTGTGTTTACATTTGGGGGAAAAAAGTGGAAACCCCAAACCCAGAGCAGCAACAACGTTAATTAAAAAGTAACCCTCGGAACTGTCATTCCAGTGCAATAAATATAGGCCGTGCAAGCTAAAAATCAAAGTCATATAACCGTCATGATTTGGAGCAGAGGTAAACACATGGATAATAGATGGTGCCAAACAGGGGCAGAGTGGTTCCCCCACAACAAGCTGGCACAAACTCAAACAAGTGGCGGGTCCGCTCCGTCTAGACTTAAAACGCTCTCATAAAACAAGAGGAATGCACCACCAAATCCGCCATTGTTCTTCGTGTCACATCCAAAACCCCTCAAAATGTGTGCACAATAATTTACACCCATTTTATTGGTTCAGACAGCTGACAGGTACAGTAGGAGTTGACTTATGTTTTTAAATAAAGTACCCACTCCAAGCGGCAACGTCTCTATGTCTCAGGAGTGGTGGATGGACAGCTTCAATTTACCGCTTTGTCACGTTACCTGACGGGTCTTCACCGCTTCTGGGGCTTGTGGTTCGATACTCTGCCCACAAAGATGTACCACTGGCCGTTAGAGCACTCCATCACATGTTCTCTGTGGTTGTGGGATTCTCCGAGGGTGCATTTCATGGGGGTTTCCAAAGGCTTTAGGGCAATATGAAGACTGAGTGGGAGCGAATTTGACAAAGAGGGTGGTTTGGATGTGGTCTATGAAAAAGCCTTGGGAAAATCTTGGGTTTGACTTTATTGCCTCTTTATTACAGTAAAATGGTCAGAGACACTTGATCTCGACGTTGGTTGAATTTGGGCAGATACAGGTTCAATATTATCATAGTAATTCTCCAAGAGACCATTAAATATTACACTCTAAGAAATGAAGTGTTGGATTTGATTGATGCAGTGACGTTAAGCAGCCTTTTCCACATTCGTGTTGGATTAAATTGACTCTCTTAGTGTGTCCGTAGGTTATAATAACACACTTTCAATCTTAAAATGTAACTAAAACAACAGAATAACACACAAACTATACAATAATACACATGGGCACATTTAAAAACAAATAAATAACCTACACAATTGTTTTGAGAACTGTTTTTTCCTCTTTGATTCATAAAAAAAAATCACATTCAAATTAGACTGGGTGATTAAAATTGCAAGTAAGTAACAATGAATTGGTGACGTCGGTGCAACTTTGAGAGAGTAAATAATAAAGAAAAAAGAAAATGTTGGTCCAACCGTGGGGAAAATCATTGCAATGCAAAAAGCGTTTTCCTAATGACCAGACTATTCCACCTCAGAATGCTAATTATGAGCAAACTACTAACGGACGATACAGAAGAATGATAGTGAAGACAACAACCTGTATTTGCTTGTTTTGTTAAGCACTTAGAGTTGCCTTGTGTATGAGCTTTACTATATAAATAAACTTTACTTGCAGAGAACTACTTCTTTTATGCAGTCGTAATAAAAATCTATGTAAGAAAAATGACAAAAGCGAACACACATGGAAAACACATGGAAATATAATAATAATAATACTGTACAACCTTATATATTTTTTAACTTATAATAGATATGATCCTGAATGAATACATTTTGAGTTGTTGCATGTGTTCAATTCTAAATCCTTTGGTGAACTACCTGAAAGAGGCTGGTGAGCAACTGGTGGCTCCCGAGCTACAGGTTGGACACCCTTGCCCAAAAGTCATAAATGGCACTTCTAACTAAAAAAGCAATCGCAAAATTCACAAGTCATGGGCTCAGGTGTGAAGAACAGAAGAGTTATGCAGAGCCACAGGCTGGTCATCTGTATCCATACATTATTCAGAAGTGTTAGGGGTTATGTGTGCTTTTCACCCCCATAAATAATTCAAAAAGCGGACTTACAAAGCCACACCCTGAGAAAAGTAAGATAATATTGGACGGCTTGCTATACATTAGTATTCTGGACCATCGTGAAGCGGAGGGAATAAAAGTTGCCAAAGTAGAGCGGATGAAAAAAGGGCTGACGTCCAGAGAGAACATAAACAATGAGAAAAGTTGAACAAAAGTGAATGCTCACCGTGGTGGATGATGCCATTTTCGAGTAAGGCCTGTCCCAGATTCACCCCTTCTTCGGCTTTACTGATCTCTCCACTTTCGATCAGCCAGGAAACAAACTCACTGAGGACACAGGGACGAGACCAATCAGACAGAAAAACATAGGCTGCAGTATTATGTTAGAGCTAAAAGATTTTTATCTAGGGTACATAACTTTTCAAAGAACAAAAAATGAACAATGTAATGGCTCTTTATCACTTGGTTTCACATGTATGTATTTTTGACCTCTGTCATATCTTTAGATCTGCTCTTTCAGACAGAAAAGCCAAAAAGAAAGGACCACATCTCAGCCCAAAAAGTCCAATAGTGACTGGCAGGGTTCTTTCTTCAAGTATGCTAAAGATAACATGTTTTCTAATACAGTATGTTGTGGTCTGCTTTCACAAGAGTCTTTCTTTTGGGGCAAACAACAGGTATAATTATGAGAAAAAGTTGTATACCACAGCTTTAAATACCTCTCAAGACTAAATGATAATATTTAGGAAACATCTGTACTGTGGTATCAAAATTGGCATCAAGTATAGAGCCCTTTCCTCTTTCAACAATGTAAATAATTGAATCTATCTTAAAATATATTTCAACATAGAGTATACAGGATATGTTTCAGTGCTTGTGCTTCATGCCAGTCAGTGGAGTGCTCCCAGATGGTACATGGTCCAAACATAGCACATGATATCTGTTCCCAGGGCCCTTATGCAATGTTGTGACATGTCGACAGCGTGTCCAAGAGCTGTTCACTCAGTCCAATTACACTGCAGCGACATGGACAAGGTTAAGGCAAATCTCCATTTTCTCCTTTGAGGGGGATCGGTCATCTGCTTTTGACCCATCTCTCAATGCTCCGGGGACCAGCTTGTCAGGAGCAGTGGCTGTCACAGTGCGGAACCCCAGGATCCTTCTCCGCATAAAGACGCAAGTGATCATTAAACATGTAATTTGCCTCGTTTCTATAGTTTTCCGTTTTAGAAAGTCCATGAATGTGAGGCCAGCTTCGTTGACAGTGCTGAACAAATGTTTGCTGGGGAATATTACATGCTCTAAAGGGTCCTGACACTGCTAGGGACAATTACTCCCATCGCAGAAAGATATACAGAGGCTTAGAAGTTCTACAACTGGGAATAAATGTGTAATGGATGGAACTAGAAGAAAATAACGACTTGGTGAACCTTTTGATGATACAAGCAATATACATGAGACTGGCCCATGGTTTTCAATGCATACATTCTTTAGGATTTACCATTGAGTGAGTGTCTTTGAGTAAGAAATTCATAAGAAATCTTTTCAGATAACATAGATACGATAACCCTTATTTCATCCCTCAGTGAGGAGATTTCTGTGTCATTGTTGCACACATTTTGATAGTCATCACCCACAACATGAGCCTTAAGGCCGCATTAGTTAACCCTTAACCCAGAATTTTGAAACAGACAAAAGGTAGAGCCCAGAAAATGTAAAAGAGAGGACGAAAATAAATAAAAGGAATTAATACAAGAAAATGTGTAAGAAAAATTTAAGGACAATCAGTGGGAGGCCAGATCGATGAGGGGCTACTATTGGCTTGTGGGCTGGACTTGCTTGATCTAGAGTACAATTTAAGTGCTGTTTGAAGGGAATAAATGTGTTTCTAAAAAAATGATTGAATAATAAAAGGTTGAAGTCCTTAGATGTAAGTGTTCTAAGCGTATTACAGAACCACACTATTGTTGTAATTCAATCAGATTAACATGCCATCTCTAAGCATGAAGTAAATTGCACCCAGTGATCAATAAAACTAATCAAAACCCCCGGCTTGCACCTAGTCTACGTCGAAGCTGCTCTAATGGGGGCCCCGATGGATGACTGCGGAAAACGTGAGTGATTTGGTGAGAGAGGACACGTTATGTAAGAGGGCAGCTAATTCTGGCACCGAAAATTATGAATAAGATGAATAGAATGAGTGGGGGTGCTAAGTATGTAATTTTGTGCATTTTCCAATAAGAATGAGCGCAGAGGGATTTTAATAAGCCACACACGAAGAAAAATAATGGCTTTTCAAGGATTCGGTTTTATGAATGAGTTTTGGGTTTACACATGATTCCACAGAAATTCTTTGGGCTGTTATGGTGGAAATGGAAAACCTGATATGTGTAGGTCGAGTGCTATCTTAAATGGCTACATATTGGTGTAATTCAGTCAGCACTCAAATGTCTGCCGTTAATTGGATCAAAAAGACAAATGCGGAGCTAATACAGGTAATAGGCAGGAAATGACTGGTGATAAAACGAGCATGATGGGAGAGCAATGCTTCCATGCGTTAAAGTGGAGAAGAAGAGAGGGATGGATGTGGTTTAGATGGGCTGAGTAATGGCATGAGAAGGAACAGGTGGCTAGTTCCAGAAGGCTATCTGGCTAAAATGTTATATTACATTTAAAATCCTTGCTTTTTTCCCCATCTGTTCATTGGAAGTGCATACCCTATTTACAATTTACTATAAGTGAGCATGGACGTCACACGCCAGACCTTATAGTCAAAAATATTTGTGGACAAGGACAAAATGTTGTTGTATGTACACCCCTGTTACTGAGAAACTTAGAATTATCATCAGTATTGAATGACCCTTGTTATATTTTTTTTATCTACTTGTCTTGTGCACATTGGGGACTTTGGCAAATGTATTTCAATGTGGTTTTACTGCAAATGGCAAACAAAATTACTCTGAATCTGAATCGAGGCCTCAACTTTACAGATGCCTTTTACTTGAGTACATACAAACCAAACCTTTACTTGCACAAACTTGAAGCATGCTCACTTTCTTTTTCTTTCTTAGGAGAGTTCATTTTCAAGCTCAGTGTTGACAGGTTTTTGGTCTAAATCAATTAGTCAGCAATAATTGTGTTTCCATCTTATCTCTGTATAGTTTGTACCATTGTGCGCCTCTGATTTTGCACTCAGCACAGATGGGGCCAGGGAATATCCTTTCTGATGGAACAAAGTGAAGGATGCGACTTGTGCAACACATCAATGCTACGGGGCCTCACTTTAGACAAAAGGATGTACGGACCACCGTTTAGGCATATTGCCAAGCCTCGGTAACAGCTCTTTTGAAACGCTGCTAGTGCTAATGTTACGCAATGGATTTGTAAGCAGGGGAATGGGAGACGGATTCCGGGAAAATACACACACACAAAAACTCACTTTCCCATAAAGCACTTGGGCACAATGCTTAGTTTACGCCGTCGATCTTTTATCAGGTGCCGGCTCTTGGTCATCATCATGTGGTAGAGTTTTTCTCCTTTTTCAGCGATCATTACGTAGGCGTCTCTCTCCATTCCCAGCTTCAAGCCTGCACAAGAAACACAGTAGAATGAGTTCAAATTATTATTATTATCACAAAACACACAGGGCGTTTGAGGCGGTCATGGTGCTCTTGGGGGAGACAAACAGGCTTTGGTTGTTATGTAAATGGATTTAGACTTAAAGCAATGGCCCACCAAAATAATCCAAGATGTTATCTGCTCTGGCACTGTGGGTGTAGAAGTTTGGGAAGGCAGCTAATTCTTTTTTTGTGTTGGCTGAAAATGTGAGGGCTCATTGTGATGTGTATAAACAGTGCTCAGTGTTGGGTCAGCAGCCTCGATGAAGCTTTGATAACTTTCTGAACTGTTTCTGGCGAAACTACACTTGACATCTCACGCTAGTCGTACAGTAGTTACATGTTAAAACTGAATAGTACTTTGTAGAAGATAAGATAAACGTTTTTCTTTACATAGTGCAGAAATGTGAAGGTTGCAGGGCACATATAGACAGTAGGAAAGAAGAAGCACTCAAAACGAGATAATCGAGATTAACAGCTCTCAACGATAGAGAAAAAGTTAACTCTTAAGGCTTAGATGAAGTATAAACCATAAAACTATAATTATACTATATAATTACAGATCAGAGTGGTGGCTACATCTGTTATGCTTTAGCAACAACAGGATATGGACAAAATCTAATGAAAGATTATTTTGACAATTGCTTAGTTTGCCAATTATCTTTTTGATGAACCAATGTGTAACATCTTGACCTGTTACGCATTGGGCTTGACATTTTTATTTCAGTTTCTCAAACTGATGATCGCTTTAAGTCTATATAAGGTTAAAATTTTAAAATTTTTGATAATTGATTAGCTGCGATTGAGGGGCTGGTGCTCTGTGTACTGGGTGCAGCTCTGACTGCCACCCCCCCGACCCAGAAATGGATTAAGGGGAAGAAAATGGATGGATGGATGGATGGATGGATAGCTGCGATTAATCCATTAACCTGCACATGTACGGAGACACAGTGTTCAGTGTTCATTGTACAGCCTGACTGTATCAGAAAGTACAGACCGGTGAAAGCCCTACTTCACATAAGTGAGTTAATTTAATTTAATCCATTAATATAAAAATCCCTTTACTTCAGTCAAAGTGGGCAAAATATTGAATTATCCATGTTCACATGATGAAGGTGGTTTTGAAGATGGTGAAATCTATTATATCAAATCTAATGAATAAAGTTGTTTTTTATTTCATATTGTTGTGAATTAGGGCTAGTTTCTAATGTGCCATACAAAGACCACACTCAAACATAAGCCACAGGTTTTCATGTTGTAATGTAGCAGATAAACAACTTTTTTAACTGGTCACAACATGATTTTACCAGTTTAACCATTAGCTTCCATGCCTTACTCATTGACCTATGCTATTTTGACCATAAACAAGTGTCCTATAGATACTATAACTTTATGGAGTCAAAATAATAAGTCCATAAACTCTGACAACTACATCACACCACGTAAGCCTGCCATATGTAAATAAAAAAATGTGGGGCCAAACACCAGTTAAATGCACCAATATGTTTACTATCTAGATTAAGGGAAGTGTATCAGATCACCAGAGAGGAAGTGGACCGACAAAACAATGCACTCGCTGCACAGTTTAAGTGTTGGAGCACTAATCCAATTTTCCCACTGAGTCTTTGGAGTTGAGCGTCCGCGGCCGGTGATGGAGGTGGCTTATATTTCAGCTCCCAGCAGCTGGAGTGGGCTTAAACAATGAGTGTCATTGAACAAACAGACGGGCTGTGTCCATCCATGGGGCCCTGCAGCTTCTGCTCCAGCTGTCAGAGTTTGTCTTGAGAAGCTCCTTGTGGCACAGACTGACGGCCCTATCGCAATATCAGACCCACGCATTTCCCTGCAGCAGCCTGAGGAAGTGCAGCTACCTCCAACTACAGGCTCAAAACAATGGGGTCTTTGGGGAGGGATTAGAGGAGGGGTGTCCAAAGTGTCGACCAGGAGCACATGGAGTTATTCCCTTGGTCCGTCAAAAGTATGAATACTCTATTATTTCAACTATAACATCAGTAGTAAACGTTATTTTGCTGAAAAATATCTTGAATATAAAATTTGATGAACCTCAAAAATCTAACTTTTGTGCCATCTCAGCATTCAAACTGGATAATAAATTTTGCCAGTGTTTTGTAACAACCTGACCCAGTTGTTTTGAAGGAAATGTTAGAAGTGAAAGGGGAAAAAGTGAGGAAACTCAGGAAGTTGGGCAGTGTGACGGATTTGGCATCTGTTAGCCTCAGGTCGATTTCCGCCGGCTTGAAACCAGACACCACAAGCTGCGATCACTTCTCATTATGTACTCACAATCTACTCGTAATTATATTTGCCAATGAAAAAAGTAAATCAATACTAAAACAATATCCAAGCTCAGATATGCAACTTTCAATTTACAATTTGTGTTAGAAATTCCTTTGCTATTTTCTTGCAGAATAATAACATTTTGACTTTAAAACCCCACTACTACTGTTACCACAACCTCCACCACTACCACCACCACTACCACTGCTAGTAATTATTTATGAGTAATTTCACAGTTTTTTAATTGTATGGCATAAAGTAAGCCACCTTCAACGATATCCGGTGACTTGTGTACTGCCACAAATCTTGTTAAAACCTCCATACGATCCAATAACCACAGCCTAACACAGACAGATGGCCAGTGTGAAACAGGTGCAACAACCTTTGTAGTCAAAGTGAGAAATAACACCACAATTATTCAACAATATCATGTTTCCAAATTGCTTTTCTTGTGTAAAAAAAAAGAAACGACTCAAACAAGAATCACAATGAATAAATACAAAACAAATGATGACACACTACATTATTTCAGTATTTAACCAACTTAGGACTGGGACTATTTTAATTTCTTGCAGTGACGCCGTTTGTACATCATCTGTCATTTCTGAAAGAAGACAATGTGATCCGAACTCTCTGTGGATTTAATTACAGAAATATCAGAGTTGATGGAAAGGTCCAGAGAGTGTGAAGGCACAAGCTGCAAATGTCATATGACTCGTTTTTTGTGTCTGATAACAGGCCGGCGGGCATTTTTAAAGCCCCACAAGACAAGTAGACTACCGTAATTTCTAGAGTGTACGGCGCACCCCCGAAATTTGAAAAGAAGATCTATTTTGTCCACATACAGGCCGCAGGTTTCATGTTGTAATGTAGCAGATAGACGACTGTTTTAACTGGTAACAACATGATTTAATGATGAGGTATTTAACCATTAGCTTCCATGACGGTACTCATTCACCTGACAATAAACAAGGATCCTATAGCTACTAAAACTTGCTGGAGTCAAAATATTAAGTCCATAAACTCTGCTCCAACAACTCTACCACAACAAAAAATACACACATTAGCCGCATCGCTAAATAAGCAAACAAACTAGGCCATGAATTCAAAAAGCCCAAATCTCTCTGAAGAGTGATTCTGTGCAAAATCCTCGAATGTGACCTTTTTCATACTCACTTTCTCTCTGCTCCCGCTCTCTCAAGATGGCGTCTAACCACTTCTGCTTGTCTTCTGCATGTTTGGCCATGCACACGAACCACTTGTTTTTCGCCGTGTTGTGGATCTTCCATCCATTTGTCACTGTGTAGTTGTTGCTATGGTAATCCGCTGCAAAAACATATGTACAACATGTTTTATTACTGAATAATTAGAGCTCGGTAGTGTTTAACAGGTACCAGTGCAGAACCAGTAGGCACTGGAAAGATGTACTAAAATTACATAATTTTGCAATGTTTAGGATGGTTCTTGAGGACTGTAGAAAGTAATAGTGCAGTTTTTGAAATGATGAAATCAAGAGCTGTAATTTATTCAATTGAATTTATGAACATAACAAACACGCAAAATAGATGAAAAAGTACAGATAAGTTGTGGTACAGATAAGTTGTCGAACCAGCTAGTTTGGCCCCTAACCCAGACACGGGATATCTGATTTTCAAACCACAAAAAATTTAACTATGTAATAAAACTTTGCTCTCCAAGGAGTTTGGTTCCATCACATGTATTGCATTTTTTTTCTGTTGAAACAAAAGAATGTACCTCAGCTTTAATTTTTCTCCATGAAGATGCCATCAGGCCAAGTTACAGGTTTCTTCTAGAGAATAATAGCGGTATTTGTAGTGTTTTTTTCCCACTTAAAATCACCTGTAAATAACTAAATACTCAATAGGTCTAATCAGAGTATAGCAATAACAAGGACATGAGCCAGAGCTGCTTCATCGGAAACTATGCAAGATCCATATTTAAATTGTGTATTTTGTGCGAAAGCAAGGACACTGAGCTGTTACTTAACAAATTCTCATCTCTGTCTAATTTTATCTTACATTTAGCATCAGGTGAACAGCTCCTGAATAATGAATGGCCGTCAGTAATGGGCCACATTAGTCTCACGCTCAAAGGTCATATAAATAGATCTAATACTCTTGGCCCCCCATGTAATGGCTCATAAGGTTTGGGAAGAGAAGAACGATACTTTTAAAGGTCTCTACGAAGGTTTGTGTTGGGAAAGCATTTATCTTTTGTAATCTCTATTCAAACACCACAAAATAAAAAAGACACACAACCAGTGAAAATGAGTGAAAAAAAGCGTTCTTATATCTCCTAAGTATGACCCAAGAATACATTTACATCAATAATTCTGTCTGGGTGTGTACACTATGAACACAAATGTAACTGAATTCTAAGAAGATGTTTTTGTTTGTGGTTTGCTGCTCGAATGTGACGAGCTAGACGGCGCAAACATGCACTGAGCCAGTCATGTGATCTGCAGCAGAAAGAGGAATCAGATGAAAAAAGGCGAAGTGTTGCTATACAGATGAGCACTGAGTGGAGAGGAAACGGTGGCTTGCGGAAACCACAACAGTAAAGAGACTTGTGTATCTAGATCGACGCCCTAAAGTAAACGTATTGCAGATCTGAGATGTTGTTGAACTTCGAATCAGTAGAAAGATCTGTTGCTATTGGTGACATAGGGTATGAAAGGTGGCTCTGAGGTTTGCAGGCTGCATCCTGTTCAGACTCTGCTCCAGTAGGACTCCACCCAAACTGTCAACAGGTACCAGATATCCGGCCACTCGCGGAAAAAGAATTGACTATCAAATATATTCAAACCAATTCAGCATTTAGTCATTGCACAATAATGCAACTGATTTCACCTGTCTCAAAAGTTTAGCAGTACTCTTCCCATATTTTGTGCATCTTTTACATATTTCATTCAAATATAATCACTTTGAATGCTTTTTCAATTTGTTTTTTTTGGAAAGACATGAAATAATGATATGGTCGTATGAATATTACTGTTTATATATACACAGTTTATGCATCTATTGAGAAATGTGCAAAGCATATTGTACTGACTTGTTTCTATCTTGTGTATGAACTGTGCTATACAAAAAAAAAAAACTTACCTTGCATTCAATAATAAAAGCCTAACGAATTGTCAGATCAAGACTGAAACCACGCTTCAGAGTTGGGTTTAAAGCAGCAATTAAAGGTAATGCATGTATGTACGTATTTTGATTCCATTGGTGTAAATATTAGCGTAAGAAGTGTCCAAAAGCTACTTCCCCGTTTCCAAACACAAACCTGTGCCATCCTCCACATTTTCCACCTCCATCACCTCTGTGTTGATCCTGCCCCTGAACACATAGAGGGGCCCGTTGATAGATTTGGTCCTTTTGGTGGACTTCTTTCCAGAGACCCTGGGGTAATGGGACAAGACTGTGGTTACACTCAACGAGCAGAATGAGGAAAACATCTGTTAACGCCATCGCCACATGAAAAAAGGACTTGTTTGTGACAGTTTTATACTCCTGCACTTGCAAGAACACCGAGACAAGCCTGCAGGAATTTGCTTGTTTCCAGGTCTGGTTTCTATCCATGAGCAAGTCAATAATACGTGTTTGCGTGCTTTTAAAATTTGGCTTCTCACCTGGATTTCCTCTTGCAGTAAACTAAAAGGTTGTCAAATAAGAAGAAAACGCGTTCCTGAATGTTTCCAGCAGAGATTTTCAGAAGGTTTCCGTGAAGCAGGAGCTCTGTGCAGATATCCGTCAAGTTAGTTCCCTGTGAAAAGAAAGAAAACATCCACATACATTAGCATTCTGGGCACCAAAGAGCCTCTGAATGAGAGTGGACATAAGCCTATACAAGTAAATACAAAACACATTTCCTTAAGGACTACATATTGAAGGTGCCACATCCATTTGTTTATTGCAAATACTCTTTCCCAACATCGGTGAAACTTTATTGTAATTCTTGCACCAGAGAGCCTTTGTTGTTCTTGTTTAAGTTTCAATTAAATTGTTTGGGGAAATGAAATTGCTCAGTGTGGACAATAAGTCAAATTGCTTAAAGTTTCTCTTTTTTTGCTGGCTTAAAATAAATATTGCCAAGGGACAAAGCAGCTTTAGTCCTATTTCAAGCGTAAGAGCATTTTGCCTCAGTCAAAGAAGAAAATTGCTTGTCTTAAAGTTGGAAGTTTGGGTTTGTTCTAACAAAAAGAATCTTGTCAAAGGAAGATGTTTTTATATGTTGTGAAAATACCAATCACAACATTTTGTCTGTATCTTACTAGAAAATATTAGAAATCGTTTGCATACTTGTAAGAAAAATCCCTGTGAGTCACTATTTGACACTTTGCTCTGAGAGAAGATTAGCTGAGTGAGGATGGTTCTCTCTTTTTCACTTTTCTGTCTGAAAAATGTAACAATGAAGGCCAATGATTATGTGCATGTGAAACTAGTTAGATTAGTATATTACACAGTTGCATTTTTTATTGTTTGATAGTATTCAAGTATATTTGTGTGTTTGATTGGAAATACGTATTTTAGGTAAAAATTGTCAATGGTCAAATTGTACTCAAGTAAAAAATTTAAACTAAAAATAACTTGAATGAAACTTAAATGTATATAAACAACACAAACAGTCTGACAGTGGAGCAGAGCTGTAGCCTCCAGTTCGGTGTTAACCCAGTGACCTGTGAACACACCTCCTGGTTCACCTCAAACTCATAACCTTTCTCGAGAAGTCTGACAAACAGCCTTTTTTTTGTTGACCATAAGCATATACACCCAAAGAACCTGCCTAAGTCCTGCACAACATGAGGAAGGAAACGTTAAAGAGAGGAATGTTTTTGCTTATGGTAAAAATAAGCTTACTTAAAACAGTTGTTGAACAAAAACACTTTCAAATATCACTCCCAAATTAAACTGCCAGGCTCTGATACAGCTAAACCTGATTAATAGTAAGAAGTTGTAAATTAATGTTTGTCAATAATTAATTAATGTTCAAGTTCTATATTGCAGTTGGGAGGCAGGGGTCAATACAACTTAAGAAAGAAGCAAATTGGAAAACGCAAAAAATTCAAATGTTTTGCAAAATATTTTATAGCATTGAGATTCACAAACCCACTGTCTTGGCTAATGGTCAGCACCATGCATATGTTTTATGAATATTTCCACCACTTCTAGACACTTTTACGAGAAAATAATAATACAAATAATAATATATTTTCATGTTTTTTTTTTTTTGGAAACTCAAAGACGCTTCACATGACATCATTCATTTACTCCATGCATGGTGGTTTTGGCCTGGGGAAGACTGACAAAAGCAAGGCAACCAGTATGTGCTAATGGGCCCTCCAACCATCACCAACCATTCACTCACACACCAGACTCATTCTTGGCAATGTGGCTGAAGTGTCTTGCCTCAGAACACAACAACAGTATGGCACTTTACAGCTGCCCCACTGTGGCACCTAGTGTTCCCAAAGGTCTCCCATCAAAGTACTAACCAGGCCCTGCTCTACTTAGCTTCATAAGCAGGTGGTGCCATACTTGTACCATTGTTGATATGAACTGACAAAGAAGATGCATTTTATTGTGGATTGGCTAAGGAATTAAGACTAAGACTAATTTGGACAGTTACCATAGTTACCAGGTTTTTCAGCTGGTCTCCAACACCCTTTTAAACTATGGGCTCTTATGATGTCGCATGAAGGCAACCTAATGAGCAATCTTTTCAATGGATTAAGCAACCATATATATAACCATACTAGGGTAATTACCTGAGGCTTTGTGATCAGAGTTCTGCAAGTTACTGTTGATTTCAATCTGTGTGCAATGGTCACAGTGTGCCGTCTAATTAACCTTTTCACCTAAAGGTTGAAATTCATGGCCAATTAATTACTGGACCAAGTATTTTTAGAATCATCCTCCTTTGATTTTAAATTAATTTTGTCCATGAGCAACGAAGCACAAATATTATCTTATGAACTCAAAAGGAGCAATGATATGAAAGACATTGTGAACCATAAAATGAGAGCTAATGACATGCCATCACTCATTGTTAAACGGATCATTCCCTTCCGAATTACGTGGAACTAACAAGAGCCATGTGTGACGCCGAGACCTCCACATATCCTTTTCGGACCGCACCCACGTCCCACCGTTCATAATTAATTCCCAGGAGGATGTATTTATGATGGATGGTCAACACCGCAGAGCTTGTACAATCCTCAGAGCTTCTCCAAAAGGTGCAGTGTCTGGGAGTGGGGCAAGGATCACGTTTCACACTATTGATTCCACCTCATCTAACAGCGGCGGGAGAGGTGGGGGCGCGAGCAGAGTGCATGGGAATTCAGAAGGCATGCCTGCACCTTTGTGTACACTTCCATGTGTTTAGCTCTTCAAAGATGGATGTGGGGCACGTCTTGAATTCTTAATGTGGGCAAAGTGAAGAAACAACACGGATGGGGGAGAGTTTGGGGAGTCTCAGAGAAGCAGTAATGCGTCTTGACCTGATTCGGCACAACTGGAGACCATTAGGCTGGGAGGTGATTAGGCTAGGGTTGTCCGGAGAGAGGAGAGACGAGCGAGACTAATGCTGTTAGGGTGAAGGCACTGTGGGGGTCAAGTGGATAACTATGCTGTAAAACTGCTGTTCCAAAAGACTAATAGAAGATGGCTTTAATTTTTAATAACAGCTTTTCTAAAATAGCAAAATGGTATAACCTCTTAAGCCCTTTCCCCTTGTGTCCTGATTACAGTTTGATTTGAAATTACACCTCAAGCGATTTGTATCTAAATAGGGCTTTAACAGGTTCCTCAATTAATGCAACTAATCGATTGTTGAAATAGGTGTCAAATTGTTAACCTTACATAGACTTAAATATGCTGAGAAAGGTTTAATGACCCGGATATTACTTTAATAAATGCAGAGTAAAATGGGTTTATAAAGTATTTTTTAACCAAACAACCCAATGTGTAGCATGTAATCTCGATACAGATGTTCTCCAAGGGCATTACTTGAGCTTTGCTTTGGTCAAATCTAAAAAGAAAAATATCCAAAATTCCCTAAGCTTTTGGTATCCAAACTACTAATTGATCAACTGAAATAATAAATCGGCTAAGTAATCTATTTTCAAAATAATTGTTGAATCCAACCCTAAGTAGCATGATTTTAAAATCATAACTAGAAAAAGTAGATAATGTTACAGAAACCATAGAAAGACCTTAATGCCAGTAAAAAAGTTATACTATTATAATTGTATCCAGTAAAAGAGATTAAATCAGGCTCAGTTTATCCATGCAAGTTGTTCGATGTCCCACTGGGGTAAATCTTCAGTCCCTCAAGAGGTCCCCTCACTCTGCCCATGCATGTGAGGCTCTGCTTCCTAAGTCTCTTCTGATTGGGCAGTTTGCCTGTTGGCATCTCTCTTGGCACCCTCAGAGGCTGAATTGTCCTATTGGTGCCTGCGAAGACAAGGCTTCTGTTGTGGTGGGTGAGGGAGCCGTGAAAAATGTGCTGAACTCTCGGCTCCAGCTCTCAAGCCTCATCCGTGGACCCTGAGCTCGGATTTGGCTGGTGAGATAGTTGCAGAATTGTTTTCTTTTCTTAAATTAGCAAGTGTATTGTATATATCTACATTGCATTTACATATAATAAAATGATAAGTAAAAAAAAACAGTGCAAACCAATTTACCACTTTTCCTTACAGATTCCGTTCATTCTCCAGATGACTTCCATCCTGTGTCATACATGAATCTCTCAAGACAACTGTCTCCTCACTGACCCCACGTCTCACGGTGCTCTTACCTCCCAGCCCTCTATGTGGGACTGCAGCTGTTCCAGAGCTTCCAGTTTCTCCATTTGCCTCTTGGTCTCGTTGATGTTGGAACAGACAGCCTTCATGGCCTGCAGAGCCTCCTCCACTGCAGGATAGTCTGCATGTTTTTTAGGGGTTCTCTTCAAAAGCTCCTAGTGAGGAATGACATCATATCAGGAATAAGATCCATTTTTCAACCATTGTAAGTGTTAAACATAAACGTCAACATCAGTGATGGGAATAACGGCGTTAATAACGGCGTTACTTTTTTCAGTAACGAGTAATCTAACTAATTACTTTGACAGTAACTATAACGCCGTTATCATTTCCGACATCCCGTTACTGCGCGTTACTCAAGACGCACAATGAACGTGTTGTCATGAGAGAAGGGAGGATGAGAAAACCTCTCAGCAATTATTGGCTGATGTAAATCATATTTCCTTTACAATCTACATGTCTACAGTTGAGAGGATGGCTCATAAATTGTGTTTTTGAAACAAATATGGGTCTTAATCGCGCTCAACCACGGCTTGTATCACCGTGAGGTCAGCCGCAGAGTAGCGCATGTGAGCGCAGAAGTCGGCTGCATACAATTCCATCGATAAGCTCCTTGCTCTTCCTGGTTTATCTGCTAAGGACAGCAACAGGTTTGGCTAACATACAACACATTTTTACATAATCTAAAATGCACATAGGGTAATTTTTCAATTACTATAGGAATGATAAGAAAGAGAGGTGAAGTGTAAGACGGTTGATTTTGGAAATTGGATGCAGCCGGCTGCAGCAAAACAGAGGAGTTTACGGAGGACACACGCGTTTTGTTTTACTTTTTAAAACTCATTGGACTCATTTCCAAATGGAGGATTACATATCTACGCTCAAACCATTCACTGGATTTAAACAAGGAACTGGTCTGAACCGAAGTGGACTGTGCAGGTCATTTATAAGGTATAGCTATAAGGTAAGACCCATAACTCATAGTTTTGCGTTTTGTATGAACACACAATGCGGGCATAAAACATATTTTGCTGTAGCCAAACAAATTGTCCACTTGATTTATATGATGTATATGTTCATCTGATTGGACTGAAGTCAGTGCTTCACCAGCCTCACCGCTCGTCACCGGTGTTTCCACATTCACAGTGGCGGGCTTTACAGCACAGTGAGAGATGAAGAGTGAACAGGACTTCAGCAGCAAAACAGCCTTTTCTAGATGGAAATATTGGCACTGTTAAAGGTAAAAATGCGCACGTCGGGTGCACATTATGTTCCAGAACAAAACGAAAAAGTAACGCAATAGTTACTTTTACTGGTAACTTGTTACTTTTATAGTGGAGTAACTCCGTTAGTAACTCAGTTACTTTTTGGGAGAAGTAACTAGTAACTATAACTAATTACTTTTTCAAAGTAACGTGCCCAACACTGGTCAACATTATGTTGTAACATGTGCATACACTACAAACATACATGTAGGTACATTTTTGTTTATGAGTACAAACTAAAATACCGTTGCTTGTTGCAAAACTCAACATTACCTTCAGGAGAAGTGGGTATTTGCAGATTCTCTGAATGGGGGTGAGGAGGTAGCCCTCCAGTGGGATATCTGTGCTCTTCTTCCCGCCCAGTAGCATGCAATGCTGCACAAGAAAACAAAAAAAGGAAAGTAAATAAAAAATCTCACAAATTAAACACAAACAACATGACATAAAGTTAAACCAAATATCTTTTCTTAATCATTCTCCTTTTAGAAACAAAAAACAAAGTACAGAAAGACAACAATATATGGAAAAAAAAATCAGTTAGCAATAAGCAGTAATTAAAATAAAATCGTTAAAAACTCATAAGCAGTCGCTAGAATCATAAGCTGGCATCTTTTAACTGTAAATTGCCAAGATAATTACTAATATAGTGACAACTGTTTTCTAACCATTACATTTAGCCAATAATGCATCATAAAAAAAAATGCATAAATTGTGTGTGTTCTAAACGTGCACAATGAATGTGAGGAAACAAAACAAGTTCGAGTTCACCCGAAGTTGAACTCAGCTGGATGTGAGCCATTCCCTGTTCTATCTTCTATGCAAGCCAATACAGTATGTGCAGATAAAACATGCTACCAAACAAATAAATACATAAATGTAACTTAGCAGCAAGACTGTTACATCCAAACAAAATGACTCCACTCCATATGTCCCCAATTCAAACTCTGTTCAGATCACTTTGAATCCCCTCCTTCTCTTCAAAGACTTTCAGAACTGTTCCCTCATAACAAGCGCTTTTATCGGAGGGGGGGCTCAGAGGGGGGGGGGGGGGGGGGGGGGCTTACATTTATGCTCAAGCTCCTACACTATGGAAGGATTGCAGCTTGTCAGGATGCTATGTGCTCATGGGACAGGATGAAAGATCACACACAGCCGTGCATATAAACCATCGCAAAGTCCTCAAGTGGGAAAGAGGCTGCAGATCACTATTATCATACGGCTTTTTAACTTGAAGAGATGTTGACAAAAAACGGCGGGATATATTCATCTTTAAGCTCCAGCTATGTTGTTGCTCAAAGCCATTTAAGTGACATGTCCCTTCTTATCTTGCCTTTCTTTGTCAGAGCCTAAAGCCATAATTCTCTTAGCATTTCTATTTGACCTCCATTTCATTTCAATTTGATTGTTCACAGCTATTTAAAGTCAGTAGCTCAATGAATATGGAAATGGAAAAGATCCTGCTCTAATTAAAAACAGAGTGAGAATAACGCCACTCGTACTAAACGGATTGGGAATGGTCGTTCTTTACTTTAATTGTATAAAGACAATTCGAGCGTCTTGTCTGTAGCTTCACCCGTGCTTCTGCTTTGCACATGGTTGCTATAGAAAACAGATGCGTTTTGAAGACTAACATGACTTCAACATGGAACCAGATGATTATTTTGCTTTTGTAGATGGATAAATTAATAGCAGGAGAGCTACAACATTAATAATTTCATTGTGCTTAAAAGGGCACCGCAAGCACAATACACATATGCGCACAAGCACACACACAACGTCAGATTGAAATTAAAATCTAAAAGGTGTGGTAACAGTTTCGTTGTCAATTTGTTTATTTCTATTTCCTTCTTTCTCTCTAATTAGAATATTTAGAGAGAAACTTTATAAAATTCCCTCCCCATTCCCTTCATCTTATTTTGTTATATACTTTTTTTGGGTCAAAGTATAGACACCTACATTGATGAAAACATAACATGTAATATTATGTTTGAAAATATAAACATTTCACTGTAGTCTTTGAAAGAGACAGAGCGAAGAGAGAAATGGTATGTGACAAAATGTGGTGATTTTCCCTTAGCATAATAATGAGATTTCGACTTTTGTAAATAATGAACCAATTTATGTTTGGCATAAGGCTTATTTGTTTTTTAGACTTGGAACAACAGTGTGGAAAAGAAAATGTGTTGGACCCGTGTCAGCATTTCATAATGAGTAAGACAAACATAAACAAACGTCCAACTAAAAAATAAGTACTCTAAAGTCACAGCAGTACACCCATGATCAAATTTATAATTCAAGTGAAACAAGGTTTAAAAAATAAAACCTAACATATTTTGAGGACCTTTTTATGAAGGATAGAGCAGCGCGGGCATTAGCCCAAAGTTTGATGGTGCGAGCTTCAATGTTATTAAATGGCTTGTTTAGCTGTCATTATGCTAATAATGGATGCTATAGATTCTCATGACTGGTCTGTCACAGAGTAAAAGTCCCATCCTGATTTTTCCATTCCTCTAGCCTAGATACAGTATAAAACCATGGAAGTGAACCATGGGGGCACGACTAGGGCCTCAGATCTCAGGCCAGTCCTGTAAAGGCCTGCCAACGAGACTCCACAGCTGGGCAGTGCTTCGCCACTCTCATTTCACACAAGCCCTTTTAAACAAATGGTGCCACTAGTTCATTGTCCAGGGCCTAAAAGGTGGAAACAGCTGGTGGCGGAAGCACCACACAAGAGCGAACACAAAAGTGGCCTTGATGGTGGCCACATCCTGTCCGGACAGGAAGAGTGCTTATGGACTGGGACTTTGAGTTGACATGGAAGCAGAGGTGAGACTGGGGAAGGAAAGGGAGTGTAGACGACAAAAGAAATAACACTCTAGGGAGGAAACAGAAGTAGGGCAATGCAAAAATCCATGAGGTAAATAAGTGCTGATTGTGTTGCATTCTGTTGAATGCAATACATTTTTAAGTTTAAATGTGCATAACTTTTTATTTAGTGTCAGGTGTCGGCTCTACCCTGGCTCTATGGAGATGGCCATGGGGAGCAGTTGACAATATACAATTATGTTAGAAAGTTTACACACTCAGGTAGATTTTTTTTTTTTTTTACACTTTAGTTTAAAGCAATCTATTGTCAAACTACTCAAATTACCTTGAATAGTGAAAAAAACATTTAATTGACAATAAATGGCTTCACACAATCACTAACAAAAAATGTTTTTGTGTTCTCCAAAATATGGCCAAAACAATGGCAATTCTGATGGGGTGTAAACTTTCAAGCCCAACTTTAAATGTTATGCTTTTCGGACATTCATTTGAGCAAATAAATCATAATAGGTATGTTTAATACCATACTGTGGAACATATCCAGGGAGCGGGTGTGAAGTTATGGGTAACATGTCTCTAAAGTCAGGGTGTAGTCTCATCAACTAAAGAGTGGTTCAAAGTTCATCAAGAATGAAATTGGGAGTACAAGGATCCACTAACAAAGAATCTTACCAGCAGAAAAGTTCTGATGTGAGGAACTTTGTTGAGCTCCATAAGCAGCCGCAGTGCTTTCTCATGGTTACTGCAGTACTCCCCATACACGGAGAAGCTCTCTCTCTGCAAAACACAGCACAAAAACATCAGTCCTGGGTTTCGAACGTGGCTCCTCTTCGATCAGTCTAATGGTAAAAACTGTGGCTGGGAAAGAGGTGCAGAACACTTCCAGAGACATTTCCATTAGGACACTTTTATGACACACTAATGAGAGAAAAGCTACTTGTCTGAAAGCTTTTGAGTAGTTATTTACTGACCCTGTTTGTCAAAGTATTCTTTTAGAAGATTCATAAATAGATGAATGTGCTTTGCAGACTTTTATGCTTCCTTACTTTGCACGATGAGATAAATAAGCTGACACAAGCTGAACACAATCTTTGAAGGTGACAATTATTTTGTTATATACATGTAAACTGACACCTGCATAATCTGATATACATTATTTATGCACCACAGTGAAGAAAACATTACACAGCCCCAAGATTATTTAAAGCTATTGTGGTGTCTTTACTGCACTGTGGATAATTGGGATGTGAAACCATGTGCTCAAGCTCCAGGTCCAGAAACTGAAACTGTCATTTGAAACAGTCGTGTAAGTGAAATGTGAAACTGCAGGTGCCAGGATACACTGCTTTTAACTTGAACTGAAACACAACCTGTGGGTTAGCTGGTACAAGGTGGGCAGCAAAATACAAAGAAGAATTAATAACAAGGAAGGCTATTGGATATTGTTGTAACATTAACATCAAACATCAAGGCAATGACGAATGAAATAAGACACTAAATGGTAGGTTACAGTAGGTGCACTGTGCTCTTTGAAGGAATAATAATATGAAATTTTCTTTGCAGAAAAGCAGTAAAAATGATCGGGAATATTGTGTTTAAAGGGCATTCCAAAAGAGTTGGAATGTTTCAATTGTAACCTTCTGTGTTGGGTTCAAATCCTGGATTGCATGTGGTCTCACAGAAGGTTTGCATGCTCTCCTAAAACAATTGGGAGCGCATGCAAATATTGATCAAATATGTCAAATATAGATCAAACAACTACAGTAATTTGGGGAGAAAAACATACAACGTCATATTTTAGCGGACATCAGAAAACACATTAGCACAATATTGGGGCATTGATAGACATCTGTAGTGGGACTGATGGCCTGGTGTTGTATGTCATGTCTTATTGTTATTGTAATTTACCATAATTAACTCTTTATCATTAGCCATTAGCCATTAGCCTTTTGCCACCATCGAAAAACGTGTCTGACATCACTCTACTGAACAGATGTGCATTAAGTATTCCATGTGGCTTAACTCCTCCACACACCTTCGACACACATGGAGCATGTGTGTGAGGGGCTAAAAGCGGTGGCCGCCCCCCTCCCTTCTTCCAACATTGGCAGATCTTTATTTAGAAGCCTGTATTCTTTCCTCATCCGTTCATGCAGTGGGAGCGCAGTGGTTTATATGTACATGTGTAACCAAAGTGAGCGACACAATGTAATCAGTGGGCAGCAGGAGCACAAACACGCCCAAGCTGCACTGGGGACCCCTCCAGAACACCACTAGGAGGAACAGCTGGCCCAGCATATGGTGTGGAAGCCCAGATATGGTTAATGCACTACGTATGGCGACCAGGAGGCATTTACATGTTTACATTTGCCTTGTTTCAACACATATTCTATTTGTATCTGCGGTCGCTAGATTTCAATGCCTTGTTTATGTACAACAACTAAGTGTAGGGTTTATAACGTGCCATTAAATTGACAATTAAAGTATCACAGACCACCTCCAATTATCCAGTCACTCAAAAACACCAACTCTAAAGACATCACTTGTTCCCGAAATAGCTCAGCGTGAGTGTGTGGCTGTTCCCCTGAAGACATAATCAATTCATCAACATTGGAATGTTATGTTTTAGCCTAGATCAGAAAGTATCACATGTAGTCCAATCCCACTAGGTCAACAAAAGCATAATGTCAGTATTGGAGAGGCTGCATAAGGACAGACTGTTGCTTTGAACATGTACCACCTTCAATACCGCGTCACTTTTGCAGCCTCAGGAATATTGAGCAACACAGTGCCAGTTATGATAAGATATGATCACTGGAAAAATTTACAGTTTCAAGTTATGATCATTTTAGAGCTGTGATTATTTTTATTTTGATCATTGATTAGTTGACCAAAACAAAGTAAGTAATCTTAATCTGGCGCCTTTCACAAACTGCGCTGTTGCCATATGCCAGGCGTATTGAACGTGTTTTTAGTAGTGGAAACCGGAGCGTCCAGAGGAAACCTATGCAGAGAACATGCAAACCCCACACAGAAAGGCCCTGTGAAGGCCCCCCCCCCCCCCAAAGTTCAATACGGTTCAGTTCAGCTATAAATTAAATTCTAAACTAATCAAAATTTCAGTTTTATTTCTTCCCACTCTTCAGACATGTAAACTTGTATCTTTGTCATGGACTTTTGACAACACATGTTTATGCTCAAAGCTCTTTGTTTGATGCATTAAGTCCGATGATCCACATGGACGATAGATCTATCATGTGCAGCCGTGTGCACCTCACTACCCCCCAAGGAGCATTATGGGTAAGAAGCACAGATTGTGCTTGCTTATACCACTATATCCCTGAGAGCTATACAGACATTTGATCTGAACAATAAATCTTCTCGTTTCCCCTCAGCTGACTGGATGGCACACAGTCTGGATGGACAATAGGGAGGTTAATCAAATTGCCGTCACGGTGTTGACCTCTAGGCGGGGTCAAGGGCTGTGGCTAGAGGCGAGGCCGCGTGATTGGACTATAGGTGTCGGCGCAAAGACACAAAGGTCGAGGTTTGTAGAGAGAAGCGTAACAAGGAGAACGCCAAACAAAGCTGGTGTTTGTGGAAAACCTCAAAGGAAACACATGTATGAACAATGGCAAAGATAGTCAATGAAATGGGAACTGCTCATGGCTGGGAGCAAGATATCTGCTTCCCTCTAGCAAGAGTCTTTGATTTCGATTTATTTTCTCATTTATCCACTCAACGATGTTTTATGAGTGATTCAATCAATTGGAATCAAAATCCTTTTGTACTTCCACAAGTACACAACCTATAATGGAGTAACTTGAGTGCTGACGTCACCCTTAGTGTTTGATATGTCATGGAAGAAGCCGCTTAGAGCTAAAGCACAGGCTCCATAGGAAGCAACGGCCGAGCAACCAGGTAAAGGTAAAGGAGCACTTTTATTAATCCCCGTAGGGAAATTCATCCACTGCATTTGACCCATCCTGATGCCACAAAGGCTCACGTCAGGAGCAGTGGTCGCCGTAGTAACAGCGCCCGGAGACCCATCTCCAGTTGTTGATGCCCGGCTTGGTCAGGACTACCGTGGCCATGTCCCTGGTTTCTTTGATGATATCTCAAAATATAGAAATTCCAAATGTTAAAATATAAAACAGTAGTTGATGGATGTCTGTTAGCAGAGAGAAGATTGTTTTCTTAAAAGGTGCCTGGTGAAGGTCATATTGGTGAGGAAAGCTCAACAGTAAGACCCAATATATTTTTCATGTATTCATTTTCATTGACAAAATAAAGTACATTTATGGCTGGATTCCATAGGTTAAGATTTATAGATTTGTTGTGAAACATTCTACTACACAACAAGTTGATACCTATGCTGTTTAAAATATTGTTTTGCCTCGAAAAATCTACATAGTTCAGCCCTAACAGAAACGATTTAGGTAATATCAGGTTTTGATGCCGCGCGCATTTGGAGCAGCACCCACAATGGGCGGAAAAACAGATCAAACGTATTTTGTAACCATGAGTACGTCAATTGTAAATTAAAACACTATCAATTAAGTGATTCATGTTCTACACTTATGGGAATGTCATATTATTTTCCAAAGCATAGTCAAAGCATGATGGCACTGAAAAGAAATGATTTGTTATTTTTGTTCTTTCAAGATGGATTGCTGAAATACTCAAGAGTCAAGTCTGAAGAGGACTGTACTTGCTGTGACCTGCGAGTCTTTCCATCAGAACAAGAGGATGAGGACGTGTTGCGCTCCTGTAATCGATTCTCCGCCCTGACTCTCTGCCTGACACACTGATTTGTCATGACCCCTGGAAATATGTGAGCACGAGAGCTGACGGGCCAAACACAAGCTGCTCATCAGGGCCAATCATTCAGTCAACCCTCAACATGGTCTCAGTTTAACGGACTATCAAGAGCATTGTGTTGTGCCACAAAGAGGGGCAGAAACACAAGATTGGTTATCAACTTTGGAGCAGTTATTATAATAGAATTAAAAGGAACATTGGGCAATCTGCTAGTATTTATTGTCTGTTTTCAAAAGCCATGTGTTGTGATTTGGATCTTAGCAAAAAAAAGTTGTGCATAAGTATAGTATAAGTTGATGTGTAAGAGAGATCACAGCCCTCTGAAAGTGCCAGACTACACAACAAATTGAATGTTGATGAGAATCTTGATTTTTAGTGAATTTTGCCAATGGAATAAGCAGCTCTAGACTTCTTTCATACAAGCATTTTGTTCTTATTCCATGTAAGCTGTACACATTTTTAGAAAAACTCAAATCAACACAATTAACCTACTTAAATTTGATGGGAAGCAGACAAAATGTGGATCCCTGAAACTTGTTTTGACTAAATAACACATAAGAATAAAACAGAAAAATCTATTAGAAATGAGTGTGTGCTGGCAGGTTGTTGTAGAGATTGTGTCCTGGATTGCCAATTCTGATACGCCTGATGTGTTTCCAAATATGTTTTTTCAGTGTAAGATAAACACTGTAGGCCTGTACTAGCAATATTCTTGTCTGGAATATGCCATGACTCATACCAAACAGGTTATCAATCTGGGCCCCAGGCTATGAATACCAAGGGAAAGGCTAGAATCAGACTACACGTGACGTGCAGCATCACTTATGTAGTGAAAGCACATCGTTAAGGAGAGGGTTGCTTCAGGGTGCCACCAGAAGGACGGTCCCCTCGCCCAGTCACACAACATGTCTTCTGCACGGACACAGACCTCTCTTTGTTTACATCGCGGCCCTGAGTTCAAACATAGGAGGGATTCAGTGGATGGAGGACTGGACAGAGACAGTGACTTGCATGTCCTGATAAAGGGAGATGGGGGTGAAGAGAGCCTCTTTCTTCCTGACAGGATGCAGGCCTGTTTAGAGAGGAGGGTTTGGGGAATGTTTGTGTGGCTTAGGGGTAGTCCCGGAGATGGGAGGGGTGAGAAACACAGAATGAACAGGCATTCACAGCAGGTTTTGAACCCTTCTCCTGGATCTGTGGTTACAGGGACCATGAAACAAGCATGTGTGTCTGTGCCAGAGACAGTTACGTGCACAGCTTGGACTTTATTACACAAGAGTAAAGCAGGGTGTTGGTTTGACTTTTTCTTCCTTAAAAAGCTTGGGTACCTAGCTTTTTGTCTTCATAAATAATACATGTTGTCTGTAAAAGTAAAATGTTCTGGCCACAACATCTTTTTAGAAACACTCTTTGGGTGAGTGAGGGTGGTCCTCTTTTTTCACTTTTCTGTCTGAAAAAGCTAATCTAATCTGTTTCAAGATAGAGAGGAACTAGTTTATATACTATTTTATTAGATACTTCTAATTATCTGGCTTGCAAGTGCAGTACCCCAACTTTAAAGCAAAGAATGTGCAAAAATATTGACCGTTGGCAATGCTGAACACATTTTAGAAATGGGAAGATAATATGAATTGTATTAAGAGTAAAAGCTCCAGACTCGTTCCATATGTATACAAATAATTAATTAATAATAATAAATAATAAACAATTGCAAAGTTTCCCCAACTAGCTCACTCCCTGGGCAAGTCATAACACTAAATAAACTGATGTCATTTACTTTATTATTTTTACTCTATTTGAGCAATTAGTGGGTTAGAGTTCTGGTTTTCTCCATCCACAAACCGATTTTGTGAAAAACTCTCCTCTAAATTTCTCCAGTGTGAGATCAATAAAGTCTATCTTATCTCTCACTTTCACAAGATGGTATAAAAGAGCACAATTGAGTTGTTTGGGTGTCAACATGTTGTGATAAACTTACAAATTGGAGAAAGACATGTCCCAGAGCTTGATACGGCTGGGGTTCCGGCTGCAGACTAGCTTCTACTGCTGATAAAACTTCTTTGTGCAACTCCAGGATGTCCTCAATATTGGAAAACAGAATCTGCACACACAAGGTAATCACATGGAAATAAACAAGAAAGCAGAATTCATTTGTAAGCAAATTCTAGGAAAAAAGAAACTTACCTTGACATGTTCTGGCGCCAGACACTGCTGATCATCCGGGGTCTGTCTGATTCTTTCTAAAAAGGCCTGGGGGAAAGAGAATTATATTTATATTAGGGGTTGGACAAGTTAATGGATTTATCGCAACAAATTGATAATGTCACATTCTTAAAATAATTGCCAAAAATGTAATTTCTTTCTAAAATGTACTTTTTCCCTAAATCGTCTGCTCTTGATGCTGGCCACTTATGATAGAAAGGCCTACACTCTCAGCTCAACAGATCAGGTGACATACCCCTAAAGATTATGGCCTGTGTGTGTCCAAGTTTTTGTGTTTTCTGACAAAAATTGAAAAAAATGACTTGGATGATTATTTATTACCATTATTCCAATCGATTTATCATTTTTTTAAACCATAAAAATGCAATAATATACACATGGCTCAAACAGTGATGGAATTAGTGTAATTAATGTGCAGCTAATTTACATGGTTAAAGTATTGAATTTAAGTTAACAAGGTTTTTAGTGGCCCACATTTGAATGGAAACTTCCCTTTGTGCAAGACCTTTGAAAGAGGAAGCAAACTGAGAAAAGCAGTCTGCTAGAAATGTGTGAGTTTATGGAGCCATTTAAATCCCACTGTAAGCATTGTGTATTCAGAGCACCTGAGCCTTCAACTGCGAGACATCAGCCAAAATAAGCGTCTCATTGTTACAGTGTCCTCACACATCAGTTCACTGTGGACAGGCGGAACAGGCTCCTGTCAGGCTGCGCTGGGCTCGGCCTGAGTGTGCACACTCTGCCAATCACGCCCCGACTCAAAGGTTGAGGTGAAAAAGGGAAGAGAATCTGCAAGCACTTTGCTTTTTTCTGCCTTCCCCATTTGTCTGTCTATCGTACAGTCTCCTGCAGCGTGTGCCTTACTTCCAGATGTCAACATGGGTTTAAACAGAGAAGAGGGAAGGTCACTTGATAAAGATCAAAACATACACAAAATCTTTTTTGATGGACAGCAAAACAGTTAGGTCTATCTAAAGTATGCTCCATCTACGTTTTCATGTAGACAAAAGAAAATAATTAAATGTAGGGCTGCACGATATGTATAGAAAAAAACACCGTTATTGCGATATTGGTACGTGCAATATCCACATAAAAAGATGCACCATTTTTTCATTTATAAAGGACAACAAAACAGACAGACAAATCAACATTCAACAAGAACAACAAACAAACAAAAAAGTAAATAAATATATGCCATTTGTATGTCATTAATGTTGTGCTTATTTTTGTTTGTCTCTTACGTTTCAATGCAGATTGCAATTTTAGGTGAAAGACAAAAATATTGCAGTTACATCATAAATAGTAAACACTCATATCGAAAATCGCTCTAATTTCCAATATCGTTCAGCCCTTGCCACATGTAGGGCTGAACGATAGATAGTAAAAATCTAATTAAAAGTTCTTTGCAAACAAAAGGGACTCAAGAAAAGCAAATAAATCCCTTTTCTGTTGATTTGAACATTTTTGTCTTGTTGTCAGGCAGAAGCAATTATTCTCCCATTCCAAAGGAGAAATCTTTGTCAAAATGTGCTGCATGATTCAGGTTTGAGGAGAGTAGTGAGAAAAGATTACATTATTTTTGCTATCAATCTTTTGTCTCTACAATCAAAATTGGTTGTACTTAAGATTGGAACCGTAAAAACATGTTCTGATATGCGAGAAATATGAAGTTACACGGTCACATTTATTTAGCATTGGGGACTCAAAGTAGGGCTGGGCGATATGACTGAAAACTATATCACAATATTATTAATTCATATCGGTCGATAACGATATATATTGATTGTTTTTTATTTATTTTCTAAAACGTAAATAAATACATTTGTCGTGTTGGCTAACACATGTTAGCAGCCTTGTTTACAGTCACGGGGGAATGAAGCTGGAGCCAAATGTTCACAAGCAGTCTCCCCCACTTTAGTCCTGGTTTAATTCTCGTTTAGTCCTGGTTTAGCACCTGTTTTCGAGTGTCCTGTGTCCCCGTGGCGGCTCCGGAAAGTTAATCTCTTGCTTTTGCCGAATGCATCGAGTCTCTGCCTCTCCCGCGCCGCACATGCTGTTCCTCGCAGGACATGTTTAACCATTGACACGGCACTGAGACACGATCTTTAGATCCAGGGCTATTATAATAGATCCATGATCCATGGACGCTACGCATGGTGCGGTTGTTTTTTTTCATTCCCAGAAAGTTTTGCGGTTTGTAGTTGGCTGTGATAGGTCGAGGGGTCTCTGCCTACATCCCCCAGAATGCCGGCTTCACTTCCTGTGTTTCGTTCCTGTTTTTTCAAACGGAGTGAAGTTAAACTATCGAAAGTTCTATCGACCCCGTTTTCTATTGATATCGAACACGTGTCTATTGCGATATATATCGTTATCGTTTTATCGCCCAGCACTAACTCAAAGCAGTTCATATCAAGAAACCCTTCAGTCATTAACAAACACATGCATACACCAATATACGCAGACACTGGGGGTAAGGTGGGTTAAGTGTATTGCCCAAGGACACGCACAACACCAGAGGTAATCTTACCACTCAAACCAATGATGTTTATGCGTTGAGCAGGATTCAAACCGCCAAACTTCAGCTCAGAGGACACAGGCTCTACCAACCGAGCTGAACCAAATAACACCATCTTATATAGCAAAGTTAAGGCTAAAATCAATTAGATAATGTATAAAATGGGACATTTTAAAGTGGAACAAGTCATCACTTCTCGTTTCTCCAGTAAACTGAAGTCTTGTTATGTGTTATCGTCTGTCATCATATGCTCAACGTCTGCCCATAATGAAAGACTGGCATTTGTAATCACACATTGGCTCTAAAGATAGGCCACTGCCAACTGAGCAGCCAAGCAGCAATCATATCATTTCCCAAAGGACCGTGCACATTGGGATGGTTGTCTCCACTTTATTTCAGCCTTTATTTGCATTTACGTAAATGGGTGGGACCAGAATAGAAAGCAAAGGTCTTTACCACAGAGAGCTGCAACCTTGCTAATTAAGAGCAGTATTAAAGGGAAGCCGTGTTTTGCACTGGTTTGTGGACATGATTGTGCTTAAGGCAAAGGCTAATTAAGTTGACCATATGCCATATATCAACATCGAAAGCCAGTTGTGCAATAGCCTGTTATGAGCAAAAAGGACTTTACTATATTTGCAATGAATGTTTGACCTGCAAATCAACAAAAGTCTAGTTTACAGATGGTAACATACTGCTGCTAATGTACAGATGCAAACATACTGCTGCTAACGTGTACAGATGCAAACATACTGCTGCTAACATATAACTACACTTTGCTTGCACTAGAATACACAGTACTTTATACTAGCCTCTTATTTTGCCAAACTTTTACACCTCTTTTATTATTATTTTCGAGATAGAGCTTTTATACTAGAGTTTATAAAAAAATATATATATATTATTATAGGTATTGTTCACTCAACGTGTGCCGTGTGCTCCTCTTTCCTACTGTCCTATAACTTGTGATGCAACACTGAAATTTCCCCACTGTGGGACGAATAAAGGATCTCTTAATCTTAATAAATCATATGGCCCCATTTCAGTTCATTGGTGTGGTATTGAATTATTTATTATTTTTTGAGAATGTTTTTCTAGTATTGAAATAAAGGAAATGTTTGGAACTTTTACTGCAATTTTGCCCAACCATCCATTTTCTTTTGTTAGAATTGAGTTCACCAGGATGAAAAATTAAAAGTTAAGTGTCCTTCTTTGGTTAAGCAACAAAAGAAGAAAAGGTGTGTTGGTGAATCCAGCCCAGATTGTACGTGTTCCCTTTGACATTGCTGACAGCTTCAGTCAATGTGCCACACAGATGTGGGGATGGAGCATCAGCAGAACAGAGAGCAGTGGGACGGACTACAAAGAGATCCTTTCAGACTCGACCTGGCCCTTCTCACCCTGGCTGTATTGGCTGTTGTCATTGTTCCATAACAAAGCACACATGGACTGTTTCTGACCACCTTCAAAAGACAAACTGACTCAACCATCTCTGCTGCATCACTGATACCAATAAACAATATTTCACAAAAAACGACCACCATACAAAACAACCAGCAAGACCTAATCATTGATCCCGATAACACAGAAATAAATTGGAAAAATAGCCAGATGTTGATATAAGGAGGATCTAAGAAATGGATTTATTTGAGACAAATTTAAGGAGGCGAAATCTTTTTGTCCATTATTGATAAAACAATGCTCTCATATACAAAAGGATCTGAAAGTGTCCTTGATTCTGACCCACAAAATGACTTTTCTATTTCAAACAGCAAGAGGCTAGAATGTTGTTGATTTGTATGTACTTTCCATACGGATCATGCTGGCCGGGGCAGGTGACATGTTGGTAGGAAACAACATTTGTAATAATTAACTATTGAAACAAATCCAAACAGGGCCAGTCCATGAAATAAAGCAAAAAGTATTGTGTGGTCAATGATGAAAGTGCCACACACATCTGCTATTTTACAACTACACACAACAACAGACGTTGTTGTGTGTAGTTGTAAAATAGCAAATCAAGAAGGTTCAGAGAATGTGGGCCATTAAGCATTTACTGAAAATACTGAGGAGAATTCTGAATCATGGCAAAAGTAAATGTGTAAATTCTAGTGGATCAGATGGAACTCAGATAAAATCTTGTACAGAGTGACGGGCTCAGCTGCTGTATGTGGCTTTACTGCTGCAGAAACGATGGAGATGTGGTGACGTGATTGTGATTTTTTTTCCCAAGTGACACTGAAAACAAAACTGCCCAGAGACCACAAACCAATTATATCTATACGCAAACATTTACCGAGCAAATCTTCTACAATGTCAAGAAAAGGTCTGTACTCTATGCACAATACAATGTGATTCATCTTCTACAATAAGAATTGAGACAGTAGTTTCAACAGTAGTTATCTCAGAGAAAAGATTTAAAGATTGATTTATATTTTGAATATTGACAATAACAATCCACAGCTCCATTGCCAAGAGGAATTGTGCAGCCATGTTATTTGCCAATTCCCAG